TTGTGAAATTGCTAGTTTTGGGGGGAGTGGTTTGTGAGTTGGGAATGCACATATTATGGTAAAGTATGGCTCACATGAAGGAAATGTACTTCTAAACAATGAGCAAGGGCCATTGACTGTCCTGTGTTTGGAACCACGAAAGCAGTGGAAATGTTGAAGGGTCTCTGCCCCCACTAAATGCGTTAGCTGAAACATCCTGCGTTCTTCGTTTTGCTAAATGATTTTGCCAGTTGCTGCTTAGCGCTTAATGGGTGAACAGGTGGCTTTGGATGGTACACGATGGAAATGAGGACGGCTGCTTTCATAACTTCTAATAATGTCTTTCAGTTCACGACCGCAGTGACCAGTGCCTTCTTACTCGCAAAAGTGATTCTTTCAAAGGTATGGGTCATCACCGTGCATGCGAGCCCATTCTTCATTTCAGTCGTATGAGCCAGAGAGGCTTTTTTCACATGACACTTTCTTCCCTCCTCCAGCTCTTCTCTCAAGGTGCTTTTGGCTATGTGTTGCCCATCATCTCTTTCATTCTTGCCTGGATAGAAACCTGGTTCTTGGATTTCAAAGTCTTACCACACGAAGCGGAAGAAGAAAACAGTAAGCTGCTTTTCCTGTACTTTGCATTACTTTCTGGGACCCAAATTATGTCGGAAATGAAAGGAACTGCCACATGTCTTACTCCCCTGCCCTGTGCTTGGGCTGTAGGGGAGGCCTGCTTTGCTATCCCTAAGCTATAGTCCTGACAAGTGTATCAATGCAAGTTATACATAGGTGGATGCTGGCTTTGATGGACATTGTCGTAGGAAGCCATTTACACAGTTTTGACTGTTTTTGTAGGACTTCTGCTGGTGCAAGGTGCCTCTGAGCGAGCTGCCCTTATCCAACCTGGCCTCCCCTCTGATGGGCAGTTTTATTCACCCCCTGAATCTGCTGCAGGTAACGAACGTTCTTTCATTTGAAGATGCAGGTTGTCTTAACATAGGAAACTGTTCAGATTGAGTACAATTCAAATCCGGGAGCACTCTAAAAGACCAACAGAGGCCCCGGTCACACGAGCGGTTTTGGGCCGGGCCGGATTGGGGGCGCAGCAAACAGGCACGATCCCACAGCAGTATCTGGAAAGGGTGGCGCGCCTGTTCCCGATCCGGCCCTTCCACCAAAACCCCGCATCAAAAATAAACCTAGGTGGTTCGTCGGGGCAGGGCGCATCAAGGCCAGCCGTGGGATCGCCGGCGCGTCCTTCCGCCGGCGCATCTTCGGCCAAACTGCGCATGCTCAGACATGCACAGTTCGGCAGCCTCCCCCTCCCGATCGTCTCTTCCTCCCCGGCATCTGATCGTGCCGGGGGAGCAACGGTGCTGCGGCTCAGGGGATCCATGGGATCCTGCCGCGGCGTCTCTATTTTGGTGCGGCTTTTAAAAGCCGCACTTTGCCCCGTGTTTTTCCTGCCATTTGGCAGGGACCTTAGTTTGCCAGGATATAAGCTATTGTGAGTCAGAGCTCACTTTGTCAGATGAAGTGAACTTTGACTCACAAAAGCTTACGCCCTGGGAAATTGTGTTGGTCTCAAAGGTGCTACTAGACTTGAGCCTTGTTCTGCTGTGACAAACTATGACACGGCCGCCCTCCTGGAATTATCTTTTTGGGCTGAGTGTATCCCGGTGGTGGTGGTGGTGGTGGATGGGGGAAGGTGCTGCCTAGCTAAGAGATGTTCAGAGATGGTTTGCCATTTGTCCACCTAGCAAGCCTCGGCTTCTCTGGCAGTCCCCCATCCAAGTACTGACCAGGACTGACCCTGCTTAGCTTCCAAGACCTGGCAAGATGGGGGCTAGCCTGGGCCAATCCCGGTCAGGGCTGTCCCGGTTGGACCCGTTTCCTTTGTTTGGCTGCAGGGGAGAGAAGCCTCTGGGAAACTGCATTCACAAGCTCCCAATTTCTTTAAAAAAATAATTAGTAATCTCTGCCGGGTATATTGGCTTTAGAATAGTTCTGTTTCTAGTAAGGGTGGGAGAACGGGGGCGCAAAGTGCTGGTTTGCTAGTTTCCACCAGACCAAGCCATGCAAGCAGGGAGCGTCTTAACCTGCTGCCAAAGTTTTGAATTAAATAATTTTTTCCGATGTGCACCCAGATTGTAATCTCACACGTTTATAGTCCTCTCTTGCTATAACATCACAGGGTAGAGATATGGGGCATACGGTCAAAGTAGCAGCAGGTTTAACAGCTTCATACATATAAAACCGTTTCAATCATACACATATCTCAATTTCTTCCAAAGATCTAAAACGAGGAGCAATGCCGGCAGTAGAATTAATGGGCCTCATATTTAAAGGGAGAATGTAAAAGGGACAGATACATTTTGAGCTTTTAAAAAGAATTGCAGAGATATACTCAAATATTTCTGTATTTGCCTGTGCCATATGGGTGAGGGTTAAAGTTCTGTGCATCATGATGGTTAATAGCTAACAGAACATTAAACAGTGATTATTTGGGCAGCTTTTGTCTCAGAACTTTTGTGAGGGAAGAGTCCACTGCCTTTCCATTTGGCTCCATCTAGTGGAGATAAAAGCTTGACACATGCATATGTGGAAATAAATGTACAGCTCCGTCTTATGGGCCTAGTCAACTTTTCCAAACAGCCCCCCCCCCAAGCAGCCTCAGAGCTTTTAGTTGATGGGGGGGGGGGGCGGAAACACTTTTTGCTGAAGCAGATGATACAAAATGAAAGACTCAAACGAACCTGTAAAGTTGTTTCACTGAATATGAAAAAAATATTGTGAAGACTTTCCTCTGCACAGTTTAAAGGAGTAAACTGGCTAGTAAGATGAACTTCACTACAAGGCCACCCCCCAGTCGCTTTAGGGCAGAGGCCCACAACCTTTTTGTGCCCGCAGCCACCTTTGGAATTCTAGCACAAGATGGTGGGTGCAGCCACAAATTGGCTGCCACGGGAGGTGGAGCCAGCCACAGAATGTCAGGGAACAAAGTTATGCAGAAGTCAAATAGTCTCTTCAACATTTCAGGCTGAAGCTCTGCTTAACAGGAAACGTTTTAAAGTGAACGTATTGTTTGAAAGTGTCTTCTGGCATGCACACAGCTTTCCTTCAGACACATGGTTCAGATCCTTGTGCTGTGGTAGCAGCTGTTGCCCTACAGGCACTTTGGAAAAATCTGCACAGCCAATCAAAAGCCCCCCCCCATCCCCACCCACTTTGTAGAAACACTTGGCAGGCGCCCGGAAAGGTGGGTGTCATGACAGCAGTAGGCGTTCTGTTGGGGGGCTTTTGCTTTCAGGCATTACTTTATAAGATTTCCCACCAAATATTGTTTCATTCTTAGAAAAAAACCTATAGTCATGTAAAAAATAAAGCTAATGAAGTTTTCTGAGTCCATGGTCCCAGTAAACAAACAAACAAAAAAACTTCCACCAAAAATTTCTGAATACTCTGATGTAACAAGGGTCAAATGCTGTCTTTTAAAAGGAAAGCAATTACACCATAACAAAGTCAGTTTTTCATTTGGAATACAGGAAAAGCTCCAATCAGTGCTGGTAGTTGTCCCCTTCACATATTTTAGAAGAAGAACGTTTTGGTTTTAAGCTAGAAGCCAAACATTTCCAAGGCATTTTCATCCTCAACTATTCTTGGCTGCTAGCGCGGTTCTCCGCTCCTTTATCATTCTGCTTGGGTTTCCAGTGAAACATTTATTTACAGCAGCACGGTCATAGGATTTCTGCTGCCACGTGGAGATGAAGAAGAAGAGGAGATTGGATTTATACCCCGCCCTTCACTTGGCGTCTCAGAGCAGCTTACAAACTCCTTTCCCTTCCCCTCCCCACAACAGACACCCTGTGAGGTGGGTGGGGATGAGAGAACTCTGACACAGATTGCTCTTTTTCAAGAACGGCTGTGCCAGAGCTTGTGACTGACCCAAGGTCACATCAGCAGGTGCAAGTGGAGGAGTGGGGAATCAAACCCAGTTCTCCCAGATTAGAGTCTGCACACTTAACCACTACACCAAAGTGGCTCACCATGAGGAAGCCGCAGTTGAGGATCAGGATTCCAAAGGCTTTGCTCCAAGGGGCTTGTTCAGGATCCCCTCGACTCTCTTGACTGGTTTTCTGCTTGCTCAGCATCTTTTCCAACTTTGTGCTGTGAGACAATGATCTTGAGAGTTCTTTTTTTTTGTGCATTCAGCAAACTCACGTGGTAAAATTCTTCTTGGGTTGTGCTGTTGGAAAGTGGAAGGCAGCATTTTGAAGATGAGAACAAAATCTCAGCGGGAAGAAAAACAGTATATGGTGTTTGCTGTTCTGTTCTAATACTAAGTCATATCATCTTTTTGCCTCCTGGGTTTTTCCTTCTCTGTTATTTTTCTGATGACTCACCTGCCTTGTACCTTTTTAGGGAGGAATGCATTAATATTTGGGGAAGCGTAATACAATGTAAATAATGTATGCATCTTAACGCTCATCAGCTTCATTTGAACATGATGCTATTTGTTTTAATTGTTCTTTTTAAGGATCTGATGAAGAATCTGATGAAAAACAGGACAGTGAGAAACCTGTTGTATAACAAATATGCCAACAGGTAGGTTCTTCTGTAAGGAAATAAATGGTATATGAGTAGTCCTTGTGTTCTGCATTCATACAGAAGTAAGAAACTGTAACCTTGTCTTCATATTCTTCTGCCCACTGACCTGTTACTATTCTAACTGGTGTGCACCCAGAGAGCAAGCGGAGCATTAGACTGTACTCGCAGCCAGCAAGCAATTCACTGTTGCCAAGTGTATAGTTGCTTGATCATTGCATCAGTCTCAGATGCCAGGAAGTGTGCCAAAAAACTGATGACAATATGCAGTTTTGGTTACAGCATTTCCTTTCTGTTTGCTCTCACACCGAAGTGATAGATGTTAACAGACTCTGATCAATGCGTGTAGCTTTTGTCTAGCCAGGCCTAGACCTTGCAACTGCAGATAAGAGAGTAAACCTGGTTTTGTTTTGTTTTTCTTGGCTGTGTTGCTTCAGACTGCAGATAGAGGGGTCATGTGGATGAATTCTTCTCGATACAAAAGAAGTTCTCATAGCAAAGGAGGAACCTAAGCTTCGAAGCCTTCTCCTCGACGTGCAGCCTGCTGTGGGTAAAGACATGCTTGAATGGAGAAACACTTGAGCCATGTGACTGGTCTGTCACCTTACCTGCGCTTTGGGACTGCTTGGCCTAAGACTTTGGATGGTGGATCAGTCGGGTTTGCATCTTGTTCCGGTATTCCCTTCCTGATCTGAAACGTGTGGCTTTCCTTGACAGAGCAAAATCCTGAATCCAGATTTGCTCAGGACTTGTCATGCTTGGTCTATAATAATAATTGAGTGGCCACTGGAACTCAGAGCAGAAGCATTTATTTATTGATCAGAATGAAACTGCTCCCATGCTCCGTAATACCTCATCAAACCTGTCCCATATCTGCATACTTCTTTTGGGCTGAATCATGCCTAATCTGAAAAGAACTCTTCCGTCCATCATGTATTCAAGTATACTTGAAAAGATTTTTTTTTCCAAAGGGGCCAGCAGGCTACTGAAGAGCAGTGTACTCATTAATCTGGTCTGGAGCCCTGATGCTATATGAAGGAATGCTTTAGAACGTAAGCCTGTCCAATAATGGGTTGGATTCACTAGAGGATGCTTAATGTTGTATTAATTTTTACATTTTTAACAAGTTATCTTTTAAAAATTGAATTATGTACTCTTTGTAAACTAAACACTAAAAAAAAAAGGTGTGGCATCACAGGTTTGTATGTAAAGTCTGAACAGGCGCGAGAAAGCCTTTCCTCTCACAAAGAACTGTAACCTAATGTGTAACTTTTGGCCCTGTGCTCCTACTGAGAAACTGGAACTGTTTCCTATTCCTGACGGATTCCACTGCCCTTACGAGTTACTCTTGTGTATACTTATGTGTATATATCTCTACATCTTGCACTACTTCTAATTAATACAGTTAATTATGCGAATTGAAAAACTCACAATATTCTGTATACTACTTCCGCAAAAAAAACAAAAAGTGTACCTGGATGTTGTTGCTCCTAAATTCATTTGATTATGTTTAAATTGTGTGTAAGAGGGCTTATATGAAACACTGAAAGCACTACCTGCTTTGATTTTGGTATGATTCTGCGAGTGTTCTTGAAACATTTCGCATTCATAAACTATGACTGAGGCTTGTTTGTAATATCATTTTGAATCTGTTTATTCCATGCAACTTCCACCAATGGGATAATGCGATTTCTGCAGTGCTCAGGCTTTAGCCATGGAAGGGGAACGAATGGGTTCCAGGTCAAATTCCTGGCCTCTCAAAAGGAATCTCAGGTCAAGAGCCATAGGTTTTCATACAAGTAAGAAGACTATTGGAAGAGGGGTCTCAAGAGTGCATACTTCCAGCCACCAAAGCCGATGTTTGCAGTACAGAGCCTGCCATCAGATCTGTATGTCTAATAGCAATTGGGGCCACAGTTGACTAAACAGATTTTTCTGTTCCCCAGGTTTGCAGAAAAATCTGAAATCATAAAAAAGAAGAAGAAGAGAAGAGATTGGATTTATACCCCGCCCTTCACTACCCAGAGGAGTCCCAGAGTGGCTTACAAACTCCTTTCCCTTCCCCTCCCCGCAACAGACACCCTGTGAGGTGGGGGGGGGGTGGGGCTGAGAGAACTCTGACACAAACTGCTCTTTTTCAAGGACAGCTGTGCCAGAGCTTGTGACTGACCCAAGGTCACATCAGCAGGTGCAAGTGGAGGAGTGGGGAATCAAACCCAGTTCTCCCAGATTAGAGTCCGCACACTTAACCACTACACAAAACCACATTGGGGGGTTTAACCTCCCCCCAATTAAAAAGCATTGTCTTTGCATGCACAGTGTTGGATGACATACGGGAGCTGGGAGCCACTGGGGCCTTGATCGGAGTGGCAGATAATGTCAGGAGCTGCTCCAGGCTTGGTGTGCCCCGCTCCCCCAGATACCGCTGTCATTGTGGCCTGGCTCCAGGTTGAGTGGTGGGGCCTAGGGTGGCGGCAGCAGCAGCAATGTGGGGAAAGTAATTGCTGCAGGCCCAGCAACGGAGAGTAGGCAGCACCACCAGTTGACGGAAAGGAATCTGCAGCACTTTAGCAGTGGAGACCTAAAGCTGTGCTGGGCTTGCTGCTGCCACTGACTTCGCAGGATGGCGGGGGGGCACTCCAGCCCTTGCAGCAGCCTGACGAGGGGGTGGCCAGGAGCTTCAGTGGGCCATGATGGGGGGGGGGGGAGAATCCTCCTTGAGTATCACAGATCCTCCCTTTGTATACTATGGTCACGCTGGCCTAATCTGCTGATACTTATATCTGTGGATCAGGACGAGATGGGGAGGGAGAATATTTTTTTGCCAAACTTGGAACACCCCCTGGTTTGCAGAAAAATCCAAATCCTTCAGAAAAATGGGGTGGGGTTTTAAAAACCCCTCAAAACAGAGGAGCTGTTTGAGCCTGCATAAACACTCCTTTGCTGGCCTGCCAGCGTCCACCCTCTTCCCTGTGCATGACAGCCGTTGGAGGGGGGGGGGCTGCTGCTGTGGCTTGAGCCAATGTCCAGGAACCTTGGGGCAGGCCTCCATCATTGTCATTAGCACCAGCAATGTACAGCGTCCCCTGTTGCTAGGGCTGAAAGACTGGGGTGCTGGGGAGCTGGCTACACTGGGCTCTTACCTGCTGCATGAGATCCTGCAGGGGCCTGTTTCCTGCAGGCTGGCGGGACCAAGCTCCATTTCCCCCAACACCATTAAAACCTCTTGAGGTGGCAGGAGCCATCTTTCCCCACCACTGAAATTCAAGATGGAGGGGAGGCAAGGAAAGCCTTGGCCAGTGGAGCGGGTTGGACTTGGAGGTGTAGCTTGGTGGTTGTGCCAAATAAAGCATAGACTCATAGAGTTGGAAGGGACCTCCAGGGTCATCTAGTCCAACCCCCTGCACAATGCAGGGAATTCACAAATACTTCCCCCCACATGATGTTAGGTGCTGGGAGCCAGCCATCAGTGGAGAAAAGTAGATAAACTCTGTTTTAGGTGTGTCTTTAGATCTGTCAGCAGTGCATTTATTGCTGGGTGACTTTTCATCTGATAATTCACCTGGGAAGGAGAACCAATTATAGATCCTATGGGTGGCAGCAATAGCCGGAAGATTAGTTCTGCAGGTTTGGAGATGCAATTCCATGCCATATGTGGAACTTTGGCAAGAAGAGATGTTGGACTTGGCTATAAAAGAGCATATAGTGTTTCCCAGAAGAGAGGTGTACAGGGAGCATGAGGACATTGGAGGTTTTTCAGCCATACGGCTTGAGTCAGTTAGTTTATATACAGTGCCCCCCTTTTTATTTATGGATTGAGATTTTTTAATGTTTTGTTTTCCTAAATATTTTTAAAATAAGCAAGAAAAGGCCATGCACGTGGCATTTGTCACCAGTGGTGAGCAATGTTCCCTGTAAGCTATGGAGTCTTGTGAGCAAAAATTCTGCTTTGTGAGCTACTGGCATTAAAGTTGTGAGCAAGCAATTTGGCTGCTGCATCAATTAGTTTGCTCTGGAGCCATCCTTCCTGAGCTAAGACAAAAATGTGTGAGCCGGAGGCTAAAAAAACTGTGAGCTAGCTCACACTAACTCAGCTTAGAGGGAACACTGGTGGTGAGAGAGCCATGGCCAAGAAGATACTTAGCATGGAGGTAATATTAGCTTCCTAGTACTGAGGAAATAGGCTTTGAAGCTTGGCATGTGCTGTTTTTGTATTTGTTCCCTTTTTTAGAAGACTAATGATTTCTGAATTATGTTTTGAAAAACCTGCCATTTATTGATGGCAGGTCAGGTCCAGTGTGCTTTGACTTACATTCCTCAGTTGCTGGTTTTTGTTTTCTGCCTGATTTGGTGTAGCTGTTTTGACTGCAGCTAGGGGAAAAGGCAGCATGTGTGAGCTGTCATTCTGTTAAGGGTTCCTGACTCACCAGTTCAGCCTTTTCCTTGCCTCTCATGTCTGTACACAGAAAGAAGAAGAAGAAGAAGAAGAAGAGATTGGATTTATACCCCGCCCTTCACTACCCAAAGGTGTCTCAGAGCAGCTTACAAACTCCTTTTTCCTTCCCCTCCCCAAAACAGACACCCTGTGAGGTAGGTGGGGCTGAGAGAGCTCTTGACAGAAACTGCTCTTTTTCAAGGACAGCTCTTATCAGAACGATGGCTTGCCCAAGGTCATCCAGCAGGTGCAAGTGGAGGAGTGTGGAATCAAACCTGGTTCTCCCAGATTAGAGTCCACGCACTTAACCACTACACCAAACTGGCTCTCAATAGCATGCTTCTCGAAGCATTATTACAGTTTAGGTCATGAAAATTGTCCTGCTGGTCTGCTAGCAAACAGTGAGGTGGGGGTGGGGGTAGCAGCATCCCTGACAGTTGCTGAATTGATCTATTTTGAAAAGTGCCAGATGTTAGTCACAGAGCCCGGGTTAGCTATGTGGGGGCCCTCTTGCACATGAAATCCCCAGAACTGGGTTGCAGAGGGTTTTTTAGACTTTTGTATACACAGATGTGAACTGGAGCAGTATTCCCCTCCACCCCAAAAGGAAAGAGGCAGTTGAATGTAACTCCTCTGTTGTCTATTAACTAAAAATGGACAGAAGAGTGGCGAGAAGGAAAGGCTGTTGAAAGGGCAGTTGGCAGTAATGAATATTCTCTTCCAGAACATGGGAAATGAAGGTGTTACCAGGGGCCTGAAAGGATATAACATTAGCACCTTATCCAGGGAGGACATTCCATTAAAAAGGTGCCAACCTAGCAGTTCGAAAGCAAGAAATTGCAAGTAGATAAATAGGTACCACTTCAGTGGGAAGGTAACTGCGTTCCGTGCGCCTTGGTGTTTACTCACGCCGGCCACATGACCACAGAAACGTCTTCGGACAGTGCTGGCTCTTCGGCTTTGAAACGGAGATGAGCACCGCAACCCTAGAGTCGGATTCGACTGGCTTTCGAGCAAGGGAACCTTTACCTTTACTGTTGGGTTGCCCAATTACAACCCACCTCATGCTTGAAAGCAGGAGCCTCTTAGGCAAAATGTAAAGAACAGGCAAGTAGGAAAGATGGTCTTTTGCATATCGTGGCTTAAGTCCTAGGGCTTTAGAGGTGACAGGCAGGATAAGGTTCCCCAACAATTTTGGTGTCGCTTGAAAAACGGGCACTCCGGCCTCCTGGAAAGTCCTCCCAGTAGGGAATAATGCCCCACCATCTCAGAATTCTGGAAAGTTACCCAAATCAGAATGCCAAAATGATCTTGGGAATCAAAATAATCTAAAATAGCAGAACGGAAACCATTCCTGAAATCCAATAACAGCAGTAACAATAATATTATCCCCCAAGTGTGTATCCCTGTTTCTCACTGTTTCAGGAAACAGTGGCTGATGGAGAAAGTGCTCGCTCAGTGTGACCACATGGAATGCCTTATACTTTTCCTCTACCTCTTAATTAGAGCTTTGCACATGTTGAGGGTAGGCAGAGATGATGATAGCATTCTGCATCAGGAGGCTATGGTTCTTGGCTCTGATGGACCTGAAGACTGCAGCTCCATGGCCATGCCCAGTTGGAGAGCATCTGCTGCTGCTGCTTCTCTTTCACGCAAACCTGGCACCGATAATACCAATGACAACACCTGGCGGATAGTGTTTATCAGAGGCGGTAGTCAACAGTTCCTGTCCTCCTAATTGTCTACCATTAAGATTTATGAAGTGACATGGAAAGCCTTACAGATGTTATGCTTGTGGAAGGGTACACCACTCTCTTAACCATTTCAGTCTGGCGAGCTCAGTCTTCCTACAGTTTTGCCTGAACCAGGTTGTCAGATAATCCCCTTTCCAAGAGATTAAACTTGGTCTTGGACAGTGTCTTTGAACACTGTTCCATATGGTACCAACTTTAATAGTTCCTGAGAGGTACCCCCTTTGTCACTCAGTGGTTTCTCATGGGGGGACCCTTGCTTTGTCTGTCATATCTGCTTTGTGAGGGATTAGAATATGCCTTTGCTGCAGTGGATGCGTCTTTCAGAAGCAGAGTTCCCTTACAAGTCCTGTAAAAAGGATATCCCCTTTGCTTCCTGACAGCCAGCTAGTTGCCCAAAGATGGGAGGTTGGACTTGTCCTGGAAAGCTCATTCCAGGCAGCAAAGGAAGCCAGTCCACTGCTGTGCAGTTTGGAATGTCAGGGACAGGAGCATGCTTGTGTTTACACCATTCTTTCCAGAAAGATAAGGACTAGGTTGGATTCTCCCCTGGTTCCATTTACCCTCCATGTTCAACACACTCAGTGTTTTCTTTGGTTTGCCCCAGTTGGGACCAATGTTCCCTCTAAGCTGTGGAGTCTTGTGAGCAAAAATTCTACTTTGTGAGCTACTGGCATTAAAGCTGTGAGCGAGCGATTTGGCTACTGCAGAAATTAGTTTGCTCTGGAGCCCTCCTTCCTGAGCTAAGGCAAAAATGTGTGAGCTGGAGGCTAAAAAACTGAGCTAGCTCACACTAACTCACCTCAGAGGGAACACTGGTTGGGACCCTTTCCATCCACTACTACTTTCTGCAGTTCTGTATTTCTACAGATAGGCCAGAAATTTTTAGAAGTCTATTTCCTGGTGTACCTGTGCCCCCAAACGGCCTCACCAGGCAGGACAGTGTTGGCTGCTACCATTTTCCACCCGTGGCATGTTCTCTGACCTACCAATCACAATGGCCTTTCACAGCAAGTTCAGCTTCCCTATTCCTTTAGGTCACCCATCCCTATTGGTTAAACATCCCAGTCACAAACTCTCGAATATCCCCCCCCACACACACACACACTGTGGGATAGCCAGCACCTGAGTATGCAGAATTATAGCTGCACAGAGCCAAGTAATACTTCCGGTGGGCCGAGGGGTGAAATTCAGTTTAGTAGTACATGCATCAGCAGCCTTTGGTAGGCGCTTGCCTGCCTATATGCAAAAAGCTTTCGATGATGGTGCCACCTTTAACATCGTGGCCCTGGCCCGAACACCAACATCATCACCAACCTGATGACCAACAGCCTGGCAGGAGCCTGGACTAAGGGGTAGGCAACCATTTAAATGCTGAGAGAACGCCGCCATCTTTGATTACATCTATGTTCTGAGTAGTTACAGTTTTATATACGGTGATGGTTTTAGCTTAACTCTGTTCTTAGCATATTTTGGAGTTTTAATGTATACATTATATGTATGTTCTGTAAGCCACCCTGAGCCTGCTATGGCGGGGAGGGTGGGATAAAAAAATGTAATAAAATAAATATAAATCAGCAGTCCGGAGAAGGGCTTGAGCTTCTTGTGGAGCTGATCAAAGGTTTTATTTTGAATGACACAACACTGAAAAACATAAAAGAGTTACAGATGACTTTTTGATACAGGATACATCATTTTTTTTGTTGTTTTACTTTCAAGGGATCTTTAAAAGGTGCGTTGCATAAATACACATAGTGAAAATATATTGTGTTTATTCATCTTTCCCCCCTCAGACTTAGAATCACACATATTCGTCCAGCCAATTAATTTTTAAAAATAAAATAAAATTAGCATCACAGCCCCTTCCCCCTTCGTCTGCAGTATCTCATCCTTAGCTGTAGCAGTTGGTATTATACAGAGGTGACCGGGGCCATGCCTTCCCTGGTGTTTGTTTGCTTGTTGTCAGTAGCGGCTTTTGAATGCAAGCTTTGAGAACTTGGTCGTCATCTTGGAATGATAGTTTTGCATCACAAAGGCAGATATTGTTGTCTAATGTTTTTGGCAATGGAGCAGCTGGTTTCCCGTTCGGGAAGGAATTCTCTACTGTAATGCCAGACAATAAGAACAGAATGCCTGCATGAGCAATACTACGTCAAGGAACTACAATGGAGGGGGACGATATGTGTTGAATGCATACAGATCGGTGGTGGCCTCTGGCCAGTCCAGAGCGCGCCATTCTCGGAAGCCCCACAGCTTAGTTCTCCCTAGCCGGGCTTTCCCCCTCTCGCCTGCTAAGTAGCCAGGAGTCCAGGCTTGGCTGTACCTTGTAGCCAGACCCAGACTTATGGGTCTTCCAGCTCCCGTCCAGGTTTGCTACCGCTCTTGAAGCCTGTGCTGTTTGTGGCAGGTAAGCTGCTGGCAGGCTACCAATGATCTTTATGCACTGCTCTATATACACATACAGTACATCTGCGTGCATGTGTGTGTATATACATAGATACACCTATATCTCTATATATTTATGTAGGTTTGAAAAGAACACTGGAAAAACTTTGCAGCGGATTGCTTTCCCCCCCCAGACACTGAAAACTGGAATAGATGGACCTCATTTACTACAGGGTTACTAGTCGAGTCTTCTGCAGTGCAGCAACAATACGATACACGTGGTGCAGAGGAAGTTAAGGTTCCGGTATTGAGGAGGCTACTCCGATTTGCGCGGGGGAAAAGGATCAAGTTACAGGATCACCACAGCTCGGACAAAAGTACAAACAAACCTGTCGCCACGTATATGTGAACAAAGAAGGACAATTCCCCTCCCCCCCGCCCCACGCACTGCTTCAGAATAGGCGAACTTTGAACGTCTTGCAGTCATGCTCGTTTGATATGTGCCATCCAGGTTGTATTTTATTTCATTTCTTGTCTTGCTTCGTTTTGGGTCTGGCACCAGTCTGTAAACCAGGAGAGCTCAACTAGGAACGAAGTTGGGCGCCCTGCGTATGGGAGAGGTTGGAAATGCAGGGGCCGGGCTTCCCACAGTGGCACTTCAGGCCTGACCTGAGCACTATTCCAAACGGCGGGTGAAATTCTCGGGAAAGAGGACCTTTTGATTGGCTGCATCTCTGTACTGAAGCCATTCGGATTCCTTGACGCCTGTTAACCAGCCAGCCTCCTGCGTGGGAGAAGAAGAAAGGGCAACGTTCAGACTTTAAAAGGCCAATAACTGTAAGAACTGCTGAGCTGAGGTTTGCTGCTGCGCTTAACGTCCTTCTTGTCATCGGTGAGACCAGGAGGGAGAAGGAGCAGCAGCCAGGCATTCATTGTCCTCGGAGCCCGCCCTAGGCGAGAGGAGGGTTGCCAACCTCCAGCTGGCAGCTGGAGATCTGCTATTACAGTTAATCTCCAGATGACCAAGATCAGTTCCCCTGGAGAAAATGGCTGCTTTGGAGGGCGGACTCTGTGGCATTACACCCTGCTGAGGTCCCTCCCCTTCCCAAACCCCGCCCTCCCAAAATCTCTCGGTATTTCCCTGCCCAGAGCTGGCAACCCTAGCTGAGAGCCACCTCTCGGCTCTGGCTTTCATGGAGGACGCTACCAAAGGGAGGGGAGGGTGCTGTTAGGAAGCCTTCTGTCAGGCCCGGCTCCAGCCAACAGTCCCCTTCCCAGGCAGGGGCAGAAAAGGCAGGAGCCAGAACAGAATTCGGTTGTGCCTGGACCAAGAACTCAGTGAGAATCCCCTCCCAGAACAGCCTTTTAAACTGACGTTTGTTTGTCATGACTACAAGTTCCTTTGAGACCAGTTTTATTGGGCTGAAATGAATAAAATATGAGCAACGGTATTTCTCCAATGCTGCCAGCTGTTTTTAAGTTTGTTTGCATCTTTTTTTGCTTTTAATGCCTGCTTTTCCCCCTTACGCTTTATGGTGTTGCTTTCACAGTGGAGAGGTTTTAAACGGCTAGGTGTTAGCCACCTAAAATGCTGGAGAGGTAGTGTAGAAATATTTTAATAAAATAATGCTTTTTAAAAAAAACCCATCAGTAAGCATCAGGAGTTACAGCCTGTATAAAGGCAAGTGACTTTTTAAGTGCAAAGCTGATTTTTTTAACCATCCCATTTACCCTTTCCCCTCCTGACGTGCACAGAATTCTGAACTAAGGTAAAGTAAATGTTTGCGGCACTGCTGTTAGTCCTTTAAACAGCATTACTTAATTCAGTACCCTGACCTGGATAGCTCAGACCAGTCAGATCTCTGAAGCTAAGCAGGGTCGGCCCTGGCTAGTATTTGGATGGGAGACCTCCAAGGACTAACAGGGGTTGTGCGGTGGAGCCAGGCAATGGGAAACGGCCTCTGAACGTCTTGCCTTGAGAACCTTATGGGGTGGCCAGAAGTCGGCTGTGGCTTGATGTCACTTTCCAACACCACCGCTTGATTCGATGCAGGTGATCTTTTTGGTTTTTTTTTAAGACAGATAAGTTTTATTGTCTTAGCCATAGGCCATAACCAGTCACACCATGGTTGAATAAAAAATACATCAGACTATAAAATGACAATGTAGGCACTAAAAATATCAGTAACTGCATTAAATCCTGTACTCATTCTACTTTGCAGGGAATACTAGGCTCATTCTGATTTTCCTTGATGCTAAGGCAAATAGCGCCATACTACTAGAAACACGGTGGTCAAGGTTTGAGAGTAAAACTTTGACCAAATCCAGATCGGAGAGTCCATTACTTTGCGGAATAATAGGTATGATGTACCTTAACCTAGGAGCTTCATGCCATGGGGATCTCAAAATAGAATGTACTAAATCGTCTACTTTCCCCGTGTCACAAAGACAAAGTCTAAGAGGGGCAGGGACACCAAAAAAACCCGTCCAGTCCTGATCACTGAGGGTACGGATTGAAATCTTAAAGCTGTAAAAGCCGATCTTAATTCCAGGATGGTTAACCTTTCTAAATAGAGGGACCTGCAATTATCCCTTTTAAAAAAATTAAATAAGCGTGCCGTAAGGCAGTCTGCGAACATGTCCTGATCCATAAACCCATCGGGTTTTTTTTGTTTGGTGGTTTTTTTGAGCCCCCGGAGGGGATTTTTTATTATTATTTTTCAAACTACAAAAACTATCACAGAAAAAGGGAATGGGGACTACATATACGGGACAAAGTATAGAAACCCACTACTGACTAAAAACCCAAGAGAGGAGATCCTCACTAGCTTCATTACATCAAGTCTTCACTTCATTTAGATCAATATAAACTGAGTCAGACATTTAAGTACTTTTTCCTTTTCATTAACTCTTAAAACTTAACTGTCTAAGAACAGTACCCCACAGTCACCCCCATTCACAGTTCTCAAAGGCACAATTCAGAGTCTTTCAGCCTTTACTTCTCTTTTCCTCGTCTCTTCCGCAGCTTATAAGGACTTTTGGGGGCAGCTGCCCCTTGCTCCGCCAGAGAGTCCTCTCCGGAAGAACCCGAGTCCAGCTCGCCACTAGACTTGCTGTCCTCAACTTAGAAATTCTTGAAGCCCATCGTCTTTGAGAACCTTATGGGGTGGCCAGAAGTCAGCTGTGACTTGATGGCACTTTCCAACACCACCGCTTGATTCAGTGCAAGTGATCTTTTATATATATCCTTTTATATATCCTTTGATCTTTTATATATATTCAGGTTTCCCCCCTTTTGCTCTGACCGACTACCACGGCTATCCCTCTGCACTCCTCTAGCACTGCCAGTCCAAAATAATATTTTGCCACTCGCAAGGACAGCATAATGGGAGAAAACATAAAAATGTGGCCAATGCAACTGGCATTTTACCAACACAGATATGACTAAAGCAAAACACAAAGTGAGTTTATTTTTTTAGTTTAAATCATATTCTAACATGACCGGGGGCATGGGGTCTTTTTTTTTTTTTTTTTTACAGTTACCTGATCAGCCGCCGCTGCTGACGGGATTACTAACACGACATCGCCACGCACCAAGTTCAGCTCATCATTATTAGCTGCCTCAAAATCATGTAGTGCTTCAACCTGTATGGCAGAAAACAAGCAAGATGTCACTGGGACCACAGCAGGTTTTCTTACAGCAGGCGTATGTCGCCAGAGTCGTCACTCAAGTGTCGCGTGCTGCTCAGATTTCTCGTCTTCTTTTGACCTAGTTTTTTGTTTGCATGGCTTTCTACCTTTGTAAGTACAATATTATTGCATTACTGTGGCATTGTATTACGTCATCTGACTGAATCTTTTTTCTTTTCTGTTTTGTAAGCTGCCTTAAATGTTAGCCGGACGACAAACAAAGTAAAGAAAGTATTAAAATATTCCTGTTCCAAATTGACGGAGCACAGTTGGTAGGAAACCCTACAAGAGGGTGGTCCAGTGTACTAATATGACTTATTTAAAAGCCAGCCCTCAGAAGGTGTTACTAGTCACTTGGATGGACCTGACATCTTTTTGAGTACAAAACGAAAACTAATCAAGAGGCACCTTTACGACTAACCAAGTTTATTCCAGCATACGTCTGACCACACTTCTTCAGAAAGTTAATGCTGGAGTAAGTGTGTGTGTGTGGGGGGGAAGTCCTCGGGGAGAAAAGTTTTCTTTTTTTTCTTGGCCCCCCCCCCCCCGGACTTTCACAGCTCTATTTACTCCAGTCTAAACCTGATTTTAGGATTGCACTGTTGATCTTTTGCTAGTCACAACAAAGGGCTCTGTAGGCCACTGAAGCCTAACCTCTTGTTCTTCTACTGTTCTCACTCCCATGGTTCCTGCAGGCACTGCCCACACACTCTCGGGCACATCTTCACAGTCCATAAGGGCAGCAATGGGCAGCCCCCCCCCCCGTACTTGCAGAATCATAGCACCCAAAGGGCGGGGTAGACAGCTGTACGTTTGACCGGTTTCTATGGCACCATGTTGGTGTATTTAAACCTGCATTCTCTATGCTGAAGTCAAATGCAGCTAGCAAAGACTTAAGGAAACCTTGAAGAGGAAGCCGGGCGGCATGGCGTCAGCTGCTGCTACGGCCTGTTCCTCAGAAGCGGCTGATGGGACATCTTTGATGGCTGTAGGCCCACTGACAGCCTCAGACGGTTCGCCAGCCACACCTTCTGTGCCCTGAGCACCGACGTCTTCCACAGCATCTTTGGATTCGTTCACTACAACATCATGATCTTCTTCATTGTTGGATGCTGGCTCTATTACCACTGAAGGAATGTTGCTGAGATTTTCCTTGGGGGAGGAAAAGAAGCACACACAAGGGAAGCAATAAGCATCAACAATAAGATAACCGATTGTCTTCTAGGCTGGTCAAGTGCTTCTTGAGCTTGGTCTCCCCCAAATGCATGCTTTTTAAAATGCATTCAAGAAACTGCAGAATAAACAATAATCACTTTTATGGACCGCAGAGAAATCTGGCGTCATGTTAGAATTCAGCCAGGAAAGCCAGTTTATCAGCATGATGCATTCAGAGTTAACATGCTTGACTCCAGCCCTTTTCAGAGGTGGTCAATGCATACCGGGAGCCTAACAATGCACATGCTGGGAGTGTACACTACCTGCAATTCTCCAGCTACACAGGGTCACCACCACCACCACCACTACTACTACTACAGAGCAGTACTACTGCTAGTAGTAGTAGTACTACTATTATTATTTCAATGTATAAACCGCCTTTCCCCAAGGGGCTCATTAGAACCAACAGCCTTGGGAACGCCAAGGCCCACAGCAACTGCCTCCAATAGGCCTGACAGGCTGTCTGTTGGTGCGCTAGGTGGTTGTTACACCAACCAGATAGCTAAGTTCTCTTCGGCTTCCCACACCAGACCCACACAATCAATATCGGTTTTATACCAATCAATATCGGAGATATTAGCACAGGGAGTGCCCTGAAAGAAAAAGACGCTGGGAAGAGTATTGCTACCTCCCCATTTGTCTGAGACTGATGGAGGACCAAGAAACTGGGGATGGGGGGTGTCTTTTGCCCTCCATAACCCAGGTCTCAGTCACACGCGCCAGGTCCACTTGCTGCTCTGCCAAGTAACTTTGCAGTGTTGCGGTCTTATTATTAACGGATCTGGCGTTGCATGGCATCAGTGTCAAGAAAAGGCTACACTTTCCTTACCTCTCCATCAATGTGTCTTGGGAAGGGATTAAAGACTGGGTGGAGACTCCTAGCCCAGTCTACCCCGCAAGCAGGGTCAGGGTGGGTTACATCAATACACGTTGCTTCCTGTCATTTAACCTGTTTTTAATCCATAAGAGAACCCGTCCTCTTATCCCATGACTGCGAAGTTTACTCTGGAGTCTTTGGTGAGGTACCTTGTCAAAAGCCTTTTGAAAGTCCAAGTTCTCGCCCAATTGACATGCTGGAGACACGAACCCGATCTCCATGCATTTGCTGCTTTAGCCTGCTTACACACTGGGCAGACTCTGCGACAAGATCCCTCCAGTCTCTCAGAAGGTTTGGACCCTTTCTGTACTGAACAGACAGGGTAACTGATTTCTATGTCTCACTACCCCCTCCCATCTGGCTTCCCCAGTCACCCATGGGTGCTGATTGGTTGTTAGTTGTACACATGTATCAATTGGGCATACAGGGAATCAGTGACTGACAGAATAAGGCAGGGCGTCTGCCCATCCATCACCACATCATCCAATGAAAACCCCCAGAAATTCCCTGGGGAAAACAAAGGCATTCATGGTATAAAACCGATATAGGGTTAGTATAGTGAAATGACTGAGAACATAAAAGCTCCTGCAAAACCAACCTGCACCACTACCGCACCATCGTTATGTTCCATCAGTATTGTCTGGCCCTGGGAAGGGGGAATGGCAGTGTCGCATCGAACTGAGAGCGCTGAGTAGATGTACCATCTTGTAACGTCATCTTTGTGGAAGATCAGACTGGAACAGCTAGAGCACTTATCTTGATGTACGTAGCAAGGATTTTATATGGTTTTAATTTGTTTTATGTGTAGGCGTATGCCGAACTGTGAGCTGCCCTGAACCCGCGCAGCGGGGAGGGAGGGTTATAAATTGAATTTATAAATAAATAAATAAATAAATAAATAAATAAATAAATAAAACCCCAACCCTAGGAGAACTCTCTTGGTTTTACCTGAGATGCCTCTGCTTCTTTCTCTTCAGTGTGAGGTTTGTCACTGCCGCCAACTTCTTCTGTTTCAGTGACAACAGCAACTTCACTGCCTTCAGTTACGGGAGCAATACTGACACTCTCGGGTGCAGCCGGGCTTTCCACTACAGAGTCCATCTGTAACTAATACAAGAACGACAACATTCTCCGTACGCATCCTTTGTGACAGGACCAAAGCACACAACCAAAAAGACCTTCCCAAAAGAGCTCAGGTATTCACAACTCCTGGGACAGGTGCGGAAGCATTCCTGTGCCTCCAGCCTCAGAAAAGCAAGGCTCACAATTGCCCCGTAGTACTTCTAATTCCACCATCCTGATTGACGGGCAGTTCAAGGCCTTGACTAAGAAAGGGACTGGGGCGGGACAGGCTGGTGGCTGTTCCTTTCAATGTGGTTCGAGGGTTTCAGACGCTTCTGCGGCTATGTGGGAAGGATCTCCCCTCTCAGTCCATTATGACGGAAAAAAGAGCGTACTGGAAGAACAACCGGTTTTTACCTCACCACAGCAAGCTTGCTGGGAAAGGACTGTGGCAACTGCCTACTCCAGCAACCTCCAATGTGGCATCCGTGGGCACTATGGTGCTCATTTGCTTCTTCCACAAAGTGCCTCTTTCCCAAAGCAAAGAGTCATTCCTGGCTCCCCCCACCCCCAAACTTACTGATGTCTCCAGGAGACATTCCAAAACCACTGCCTCCAACATAGGACGATACTTGGCTTGGAGTCTCCCAATCTTTGGTGACTGCCTCCCTGCCACGGCTACATTGGTCTTGCCTTCCGTGGCAGCCATTTTCTGGCGATGCCTAAGGAAAAAGTAATCACTGCAAGGAAGGAAGTGGCAGGACTCTCAGATTAACCCCACTGGAATTGGCCACGTGTGCCACATGTTGTTAGATACAATGATTAACTGAAGAATTTTACCAAAGCTTTGCTGACTGAAGAAAAAAAAAATACTGGGCTGTGTGCCTACTGGCGTCTAACAAACAGATGGACTTTCAGCCTGGTTCACTCCTACACGTTCGTATTTGATGGATGTGGGGCTGTGTGGTGTCTGGCCTGTGAGAATGAGCCATCAGAGATCAAACACCACGGACACAGTCTATAAAGAAGAAGAGAAGGTTTTTATGCCCCGCTTTTCTCTACCTTAAGGTGTCTCAAAGTGGCTTACAATTGTATTCACTTCCCCTCCCCACAACAGACAACCTGTGAAGCAGGTGGTGCTGAGAGAGTTCTGAGGGAACTGTGACTGACCCAAGGTCACCCAGCAGGCTTCACATGGAGGAGGGGTGGGGAATTGAACCTGGTTCTCCAGGTTTGAGTCCGCCGCTCTTAACCACTACACCACATTGTCACCTCAAATGCTCCTTAGCTTCTGAGATTTGCCTGGGCTACCCAGGTCAGGGCATTTATTTTGTTTTTGAGCCACAATGCAGCCAATTGGAGGGGGCGGGTGAACCATCAACTTAAGCAGTCATCCCATGCCCCTGCAGCCAACTGGTTATCCTAGTTTCACAACAGACTTTTAATTCTATTAATTGTGAAATGCAGAAACAAATGTCCACGTTAGCTAGGGAAAGGCTCTGTTCAAAGAAGTGTGCGATTCTTTGTTCATCAGCTTTGGACACCCTTTGGCAATATCACATAAGATACGACTAAACCCACAAGCTCTACATAATGGAATATAGACTTAGAATGAACCTTGGCCAAAGTTAAGCACCTTTTCCATCAATGGCAATGGGAAGGTACCAAGTTAAAGAGTGGGGTGAACTGTCCTAGTGAAATCAATGGAACTTCGAAGTACCTGAGTTGTATGCTACCACTCCATTCAGCAAATGGCACGAAGGGCCTTCCACCGGAGCATTCCTTCAACCCAGCAAGCCTTCCGCTGGAGCATTCCTTTGTCTCAAGGAGCCTTCTGCTGGAGGAAGGCTTCTTGGCATGAAGAAAAGGCTCCACAAATATGTTTTTGTTCTCAGGTGCAGTAGTAGGGTACAACTCTTTACCTTTGGCTGGATAAAGCTGTCAATGGAACCACGGTATAACCATGCTCCCTAAACATTCTCTCTGCTGCTCCCAGTGCGCCATTCATACATACCTCACATTCTTTCTCAGCATATTCCGTCGTCTCCTGTATCTCTGCCTCCACAGCATCCTTCATAAAATCAGAAATAGGATTATAGCACTGATGCAAAGCTTTTCACAAGAGCAAGATCAGCATAGCTAGCACAGTATGAAAATGCGGTGGCAGCGGAAGGGAAGAGACTCCACAGCGAAGACAATAAAGCAGGTGTTGCTGAGAGCCACAATACAATGGAGGCGGGTTCAAATGCCTTCAGACCAAAGACAAAAAGAATGAGAAGGTGGGGAGAGGATGGTTTGTTCTATGAAGATGATGGGAGGTAGTAGCAGTTGCAAAGCATACGAAAATGTCTACTGTGTTTATGACACACGAGACAACTCTTGATTTCAGAATGAAAACCAATCGGGAATCTACTGTCTACTGGCAATCATTGCTGGTGCCTAGAAATCTGGAATATTTATTATGGACTTCAGTACTAAAATTTTGATTGTGACTGACTGCTGCTGACAACTAGAAATCTGAATTACTTTCCCAAACCCTTCAATAAAGGACTTGAGTTACGTGAAACAGCTTGTTGATTTAATATTGAACGGTTTTACCGGCCTCCGTTTAGCTGTCAGCAACAAATCCAACACATTTATACCCCACGTTTCTCCCTACAAAAGGCAGCTTAACAATTTTGAATCAGCATATAAGGTATTTCAAACCAATCTGACAGTCATAGCCACAAAAACCCAGTCCATGACTATCTGTAACGCAAGACACACCCATCCACCATTCAATAAAATTAATCAGCAATTCAGCGCCCAATTCAACAGAAAACTCTGTGAAACAAAGAAGTTTGACAGCACGCCCTCTAAAAGCCACTAATTCTCAGGTCTATATCCGTGCCCATCAGTTTGTGCATGGTATGGAAATGGAAGATCTGCTGCTTTTAAATACACTGCTGTTTGTCGTGACATTCAAACTGGGCAACACTGTGGGTTTGTTCTCTTGCTTATAAACCAGGATTCTACATCACAGTTACTGAGGCATGTTCCAGCCAAATTATCACTGCAGTATTACCAATTTCAGCGGCAGGAAGTTAAGCGCATGTTTCACTTTCCCACTGAAATCCAGGGGACGTGGGTGTGCTTAGCTTTGGTTGATCTCTGCCTGTTAACCTATATCCAGGCAGCAAATGTCTGCAAGGCTTTGATAGCTTGGCTGTATGAGAAACTGTAAAATAAAAATCTGTTCACGAATGGAAAGTATGTGACAAGAATTTTGAGATGGAAGCGACTTTCAAATATGGGACTGGGACGTCCCTCTTTCCAAATTCCTAATTCCTTCTCAGTAAAGAATTCAATGAGCTGAAACCCAAAGCTTCCTTTTTCCCATAAAAGGATGTTGCATCCAAAACTTTATATACCCTCTTAAATTGTAATCTGCTAGACGTGCCTGCAGTTGCATCATAAGCCTGAAACGTGGCCAGATGCTGGGCCAACTCAGCTGCTGCCAGCCGCGTTGCTATGGAAACCCCTCACAGCTTTATCCCATTAAAAATTATAGCGTTATATAACTCCCCCCTTTTCATATTATTAATTCCCTGTTGGAGTTGCCACAACTGACTTCTTGGACTGTCCTTATTTATTCTTCCCGTCGTTCATTGCACAAATACATCTCTGGAAACCTTTACAATATAAGAGTCGGTTTCATGAGAAAACGTGCATGAACACAGACATCTGAATGATACTAGTTTATATTAAGCAAATCAACAGAGACCCTGTGTCTTAGAAATATCAGGAGAAAGCATCTTTCTAAGACCCATACCAGATCTTATGGGGGTCATGCCTATCCCTTCTCCTCACACACACACACCACGCCCCCAGTAATTAGTACCACAACACATGGACATCACCACCCATGAGATTCCCCATCCAAGCTCCTGATCACTCTGGTCAGGAAACTGGTAGCATGCTACCATCGTATCATGTGTTTAGTAGGACTAAATATCATTGGGCTTTTCTGCATTCTCCTTTTACTCGCTGTCCCTTTTTCTTCGGGGGTTCCCCCCTCTGTTTTACACATGTTTTTCTCCCTCTAGTGGTCGATTTGATATCAGACAGCTTTATTTCCAGTTTATCTCCCTGCAGCTGAAATCTGCAGGAAGCTGGAAATAAAGCTGTTTGATATAAAATCCACCACTAGAGGGAGGAAAAACACATGTGCAACAGGACCCCCGGACCCCGGGAAGAAAAAGGAACTGAACAATGAGTAAAATGAGAATGTGGGAAAATCCATTGAGGGGAATGGGGGTGGAGAAGGAGGGCTCCCCATTTTCAGGGACAACTGCCCAGCTCCCATAATACCTAGTTTCAGCCTTAGTGTGATAGGTGGGGGGGGAATCTTAGGTAAAGTGTCAATGAGGATGTTCGTTCTATACCGCCCTAAACAGAAATGCATTGATTGGAATTTTAAAAATCTGTAAAAGGTTCTGGCCAGCAGATCCCCAGCAGTTCAGTATTCATAGATTTCCTAAACTAATGAGCTGCTCCACTGTGCTGAGGCCAAGTTAGAGCATTTGCTTTTATTCCCAGCGACAGGGGAACATTAATTTTCACTCTGCTGGAAGTCTGTAGCCTCGTCAGAGCGCAAAGACTGTTGGATCTGTGGCGTCAGAAGGAAAGAATTACAACGTTCCGCCAGCTCTGTTGTCAGAACAAGCAGTAGCATTTAGTCATGAACCATCCCCATGGGAAGACCTTCCAGTCCCTAATTTAAAATTTCCAGAGATGTTTGAATAGTGTCAACAGATATTAACTATTACTAAATTTTAACTCTGATCATCAAAGCGACATGACCAGCAAAATCACTGCTGGCAGGCATTAAATAGACTGAGAGCACTTTAAGAACTTTAGCTTTGGGCGAAACGTTTGCTTTCCTGGAGAAGAGAGCAGCACGTATGTCCTTGAAATGCAGCCTGGGGTTAATAAAGGACATAAAATGCAAAGAACCAGAAACCAGAGAACGCTGGTTTGGATAGACCCGAGTAGTTTTTACTGACCTACCAGCTCAGACAGTTAATGACATTAACAGGGGAAAGTCTACAGCCAGAGACCAGCTAACATCTATTACTGTGAACCTATGCCCCAATGGTGCACATTTAAAAAAAAAATTTAATGCGTGCATCAAACCCACAACCGACAAGGTTAAAAATACATGTATAATTAACAAGCAAATCGAAGCAGTACAAATGCAACTTGATCTGACTGCAACACCATTAAATTGTCATCACAAGATTAGCCAGGATCCAAAGAGCCCCACGTGCAGGCAGAAAGCACTTCCACGGCTGAGGTCAAGCTGCCAGTTTCCCCTACCTAATGCATCCCTTCATGCTATATGTACAGATGCTCGTTTATCTATCTAGCTATCAATCGATCATTTCATTTATACCCTCACCTTTCTCTTAATGGGGACCCAAAGTGACTTACATTGTTCTCTTCTCCTCTATTCTCACAACAACTCTATGAGGTAGGTTACGATGAGAATGCGTGACTGGCCCAAGGTCACCTGGCAGGCGTCCATGGCAAAGGGGGGATCTGGATCTGGGTCTCCCAGATCCTAGTCTGGTGCTCTAACCACTACACCTCAGGCTTCAAGGGTGGGTCTTTCATTGGGAAGCTGCAAGGGGGAGTCAAAGGAACCCCAAGGCACACAAGCTATAGCATGCATGGGCCTTTGACCACCATCTCTAATGCCAAACAGAGCATCAAGGGAGTTTACATTCCTGGCTCTAAGCCTGATTTGCTTACTCTATTAAGGTGTTTCTATGCTACTTGCCTCCTAAGGGACCCAATGCAATTTACAGAAATTTCTGGAACGCATTGAGTAATTTGCCATCCTGAATTTGAATCTGGTTTTAAATGTGGTTTTAGGGGGTTAATTTGACACCAATAATTTAAAGAGAGTTAATTGGATTTTATGGAAATCGTAATATTGGATTGTTTTGCTTGAATTATGTGTGATTGTTTTATTGTTCTTCTGGTACAATGTAATGTGCTCTGAACCCACTTGTGGGGGAGGGTGGGATAGAAATCCCATGAAATAAATAAATAAATACGTTTAAATAACCAAAAACAACTAAAGAAACATGGGCATGTCCTGGGCAGGTCCTGCTTTACTAGGTTGGCTATCGGAGGCTGGTGCAAACTCTTCCATTCCTGTGTTTTCTAACGTGACCCACCAAGCATGAATGAGTGTGACAAACAGTGACATCCCAGGCAAAACTACACCCTTCTGAAATCCTGCCCTTCAACAGACTTAGAAGGGTGTAACTCTGCTGAGGAATCCACTGCATGTCTCTCCTCCAGATTTAAGACTGAAAGTTTTTCCTGCTGCGATGGATAAACTTAAGGTAACTAAACACCTTTTTTACATACAGAAAACCCTGTTTGATGTCACCTCTTAGGCAGCCTCCTTAGGTGGCCTGTATCTGGATACCAGGAGCCTAACAGCCCAGACTAGCCTGATCTTGTTAGACCTCAGAAGCTAAGCAGGGTCAGCCCTGGTTAGAGCTGACACAAGAGACCACCAAGGAAGACTGGGGTTGCTTTGCAGAGGAAGGCAATAGCAAACTACCTCTGCTCATCTCTTGCCTAGAAAAACCCATGGTCCTTGGTTCTCCATACTTCAGGTGCAACTTGAAGGCACACAATTATTTATTACATAGATAATGAGATTCAGGTCAGCGACTCCTCAATATTCTTACATCTTCCAGAATGTTGTTGTTGTTGTTGTTCAGTCGCACAGTCGAGTCCGACTCTTTGCGACCCCATGGACCAGATTGCGCCAGGCCTTCCTGTCTTCCACCATCCTCTGAAGTTTGCTCAATTTCATGTTTGTTGCATCTATGACACTGTCTAACCATCTCATCCTTTGCCATCCCCATCTTCTTTGCCCTTCAAGGGTCCTGTCCATACGAGGCCTTTTGGGCCGGGAGCGGGACGGAACGGGGGCAGAGCAAACGGGCACGATCCCACGGCAACATCTGGGAATCGTTGCCTGCCCGTCCCTGTTCCGTCTCAAACGGCGATACCGCGCTGTAAAAAGGAACCACCTAACTAGGTGGTTGTATCCCTTCCAGCGCCGCAAGCTGGGCCGTGGGATCGGGCGGCGCGTCCTTGCGCCACCACATCCCGGCCCCCGGCCGTACTGCACAGTTCGGCAGCCTCCCCCTCCCATCGGACTTTCCTCCCCGGCATCTGATCGTGCCGGGGAGCGATGCACCGCGGCTGAGGGGATCCGTGGGATCCCGCCGCGGCGTCTCAAGTTCGGTGCGGCTCTGCTTAGCCACGTTTCAGCCGTCCCGTGTGGCAGCAGCCAAGGATAACTTCCAGGATAACATTCCTAATTCCTCCATCTTGATGAGGGAAGGCACGAGTCCCAGGGACATGAGTCTTACTTTGGATTCTGATGATTCTTCCTCTCGGTCATTCTCCCTTGGCAAATCTCTCTCAACCCTATTATATTTCCCTTTGGTCCAGAGAACGTATTCTTCAAAGCACCGTTAAATATAAACCTAACTACAAACCTCACACGTATAGATGTACCCCCTTTTTATCTTTAAAACGCCACCTTTCTATTTAAGAACTTTCGGAGAGGCACTTTTTACACTCAACGACTTGCATCAGAAAAGTGTTTGATGTGGCTGCATCGGAACCATTTTGCTTGAGGCAATATGGAAATCCCATCTGTGTAGTTTTACCTGTGAGGATTAGCTGACACCTATAAATGGCCATTTGAGGCGTAGGCTTAGTCAGTGCATACAGCAGAATTAGGTGACAGAATGGGCCATGCCCCCTCAGACTGCACTAGGCAGGGAGTCATATTCTTAACTCTTCTTCATATAACACCCCCCATTACCACATACAAGGGGAAAGTTCTCATCCAGCACTTTGTATGTGGGGCTAGATTTCTACTGACTGGCAGTTATTAATGTGAGGGTTTTAAAAAAAATCCCTCAGCCAGGTGTGGCCAAACTTGCTTAACGTAAGAGTTAAGAAGTAGTTACATAGTTACATAGAAGTAACATCAGATGTCTGAGAGCAGGGGTCATTTCCTGCAGGAGCGCACAGGAGCGGAGCTCCGGCAGTAAAGAGCCCAGGGGGCGGGCAAGAGAAAGAAACAGAAATAAAGTAAATAGATGGGTGAGGGAGGGAGGAAGGAAGCAAGAGAGAGGGAGAAAGAAAAAATCAAATAGATGAGGGAGGATGGAAGAAAGAGAAAGGTGGAAAGAAAGAGGGAAAGAAAGAAACAGAAACAAAGAAAGTAAATAGATGGGTGAGGTAGGGAGGGAGGAAGAGAGAGGGAGAAAGAAAGGTAAAAAAATAAGTGGAAAGAAAGCAAATAGATGGGAGAGGGAGGAGGGGGGAAAGAGAGAGAGAGAGGTGGGGAAAAAACAAAGAAATGGGGAGGTAGGAAGGAAGGGAGAGGCTTCCGCATTAACTTTAAATGTGTTCTCCAGCACCCCCACACACATACACACGGCAGCTGGCTTGGCTTGGAGAAGGGATTCAAAGAAACAAATGCCTTCTCCAAGCCAGCCAGCCGGGGGGGGGTGCTTTGAGAACGCATTTAAAGTTGCTTTCTTTCTCTGCCGCTGCCCCCCCCCACCTCAAGCCTACCCACAGAGGGGGACACTGGCTGGGGAAGGGAAGACTGCCTACCTTCCATAGACACCCTGCCGGGAGCTGCACAACATTTATGAAAGAGCCGCAGTTTGGCCACCCTTGCTCTCAGCTGTAGCAGTATAGCCCATTCTAATCACCTCCACACTCTGCCTCCTCACAGGCACAGGAAGCTGCCTTACACTGAATGAGCCCACCGGCCTATCAAGGTCAATACTGCCTACTCTGACCGCCAGAGCTTCAGGCTGAGATGTGTCACATCACCATCTACCTGATCCGTTCAATGGAAGATGCCATGGACTGAACCTGCTACCTTCTGTATGCAAAGCATATGCTCTGCCACTGAGCCACAGCCAACCCTGCTTGGCTTTTAAGATCTCACAAGATCAGGATGGCCTGGGCTATCCAGGTCAGGGCAGTTTGTGTTTACTTAGAGCAACAATATTAAAGAACGGGATTTTTTAAATTCATGTTTTGTTTAATATCTAGCTAATCCCTCTGTCTCCTGCCAACCTAGCAGTTCGAAAGCAAGAAATTGCAAGTAGATAAATAGGTACCACTTCAGTGGGAAGGTAACAGCGTTCCGTGCGCCTTGGTGTTTAGTCATGCTGGCCACGTGACCATGGAAACATCTTTGGACAGCGCTGGCTCTTCGGCTTTGAAACGGAGATGGGCACCGCAACCCTAGAGTCGGACTCGACTGGCTTTCGAGCAAGGGAACCTTTACCTTTACCTTAATCCCTCTGTGTTGCAGAGCTACCAATAGCTGGTGTCACGTCTGAAATCCCCTTTCATTGTTCATCAGCTCAGTCAAGAGTAGTGAGTCCACCACAGCCATCGCCATAAATGGAGGAGGCACGGCTATGGTCTGGATGTGCACCTGCATAGTGATGCGTCTTCAGTTCAAGACTATCCCTCTTGCACTGCAGAGAGGAACATTCACACAACTCCACCCACCATCTGGGACCTTGCAGCACAACAATACTGCTGGATCAGCTCTATCTGATGTTAGGCGGCCAGTCAGACTCCAGACCAGAAGACCTGGATCGTGCTTTGCAGGCCGTGGCTGGGTGGCTCACACTGAGTCGGCTGAAACTGAATCCAGCAAAGACAGAGGTCCTGTGCCTGGGTCAGGGCGGTTCGGGGGCGGGGGTCCCACTCCCGACCTTTAAGGGGGGCTTTACTGGTCCCAACGATGGAGGTTCGGAGCTTGGGAGTGCTCCTGGATCCCTCCCTTACCATGGAGGCCCAGGTAGCAACCACTGCCAAGTTGGCCTTTTATCAACTTAGGCTAATTAGGCAGTTGGTCCCCTTCCTTGACCGCGCTGACCTGGCTACAGTGATCCACGCAATGGTCACCTCGAGACTAGACTACTGTAACGCTCTCTACATGGGGCTGCCTTTGTCGCGGATCTGGAAGCTACAGCTAGTGCAGAACGCCGCGGCCAGGCTGTTGATGGGTCTCCCTAGATGGGAGCACATCCAGCCTGTGCTGAGGACACTGGACTGGCTGCCAATAGCATACCGAGTCCGCTTCAAGGTGCTGGTTCTTACCTTTAAAGCCCTATATGGCTGGGGTCCAACATACCTACGGGACCGCCTTTCCCCGTACATACCCCAGAGAGCACTACGGTCTGGGTCTCAAAATTGGTTGACCCTCCCTGGCCCGAGGGAGGCCAGGCTAGCTGCTACTAGGGCCGGGGCCTTTTCAGTGGTGGCCCCTACCTGGTGGAACGAGCTCCCGGAGGAGATGAGGGCCCTGCGGGACCTTTCGCAGTTCCACAGGGCCTGCAAGACAGAGCTCTTCCGCCAGGCATATAATTAGGGGCCGCCGCCGCAGTGCGCGGCCCACAAAGTCATCATTGAGCAGCTGCCATAAGAGTGACGAGCAGAATAACATCTAAGCACTTTTATGCTGGGAGCTGGAAATCCATCTGAAAGCATTCCTGGTTGAATTTTAACTGCCGCCAGCACTTTGTAATGTATTATTTTTACCTGTTATGTTTTAATTTGTATTATGTATGTTTTTATCATGTATTTATGTTACTGGAAACCACCCCGACCCTGCTTTGCGGGGAAAGTGGGGTATAAATCTGACAATAAATAAATAAATAAATAAGACCAGGAATCCCCTTTCAGGGGCACAACTATTTATGTTCCTCAGACAGAAACTACTTGACATAATGCCATGCCACAGCAACTCATGGTAAGGATGGGATCTGAGCTCTGGTCTCCACGCCCAGTACTGTCTCCATAAGGAGATGTTCTTCTAGGGCCTAGACCTTTGCCATTAACCAGTCCTGAGAGCTTCAAAAGGAGATGAAAATGGACAAGATGGGTGAAATGAGACAAGGACACGAATGATGGGAGGCGACGTGGATGAGTTCCAGGGCACGTGATGTACCATTCACTCACCACAGCTTCGGCGGGTGGCTCAGCAGCCTCAACGGGCTGAGGTTCTGGCTCAGGAGCAGGGGCAGCCACCTCAGGGGCACTAGGGGCTTCCTCAGCCTGGACTTCTAAAGATGGAGCCTCTTCTGCCTCAGCCTTTAGTTGTTGTGCCCGTTCCAAAAAAAAAGGAAAAGGTAGACAAGCACAACTCATTGAAGGACATTGCAACTAGGCATTTATTCCAGCTCCTGCCAACCGAGCAGTTCGAAAGCAAGAAATTGCAAGTACATAAATAGGTACCCCTTCGGTGGGAAGGTAACAGCGTTCCGTGCGCCTTGGTGTTTAGTCATGCTGGCCACATGACCACGGAAACGTCTTCGGACAGCGCTGGCTCTTCGGCTTTGAAACGGAGATGAGCACCGCAACCCTAGAGTCGGATTCGACTGGCTTTCGAGCAAGGGAACCTTTACCTTTACCTTAATGCCACTGTGGCTATTCCAAGGAAGTGGGAGGAAGAGGGAAGGTGAATGAATCACGTCTCTTCTTCACAAGCGTCAGGGTCTTTTCCAGAAGGGCAGGCGGAGTGTGCATTTCCCTCTCAAGTCGGTGCAGGGCTCCTCTCCCACATCAGCTGACTTTTAGTTTGGGGGAGGGGAAGAATGGAGCAAAGTGTGACTCCCTCCCTTTCAGAATCATCTCAAGGCCCAGCCACACATGATGCCGGGGATTCAAGCACGACCGTTTCCTAACGGGAAAAGCCCTCCTTCCAACTAGGCACTGCACTTTTCTTCCATCCCAGGGCTTACGGCAGTCAAGAGGGGAATGTTTCTGTGCAGGAAGATGGCACCTGGGGTGAGGGGGAAAGGGCTAAACATTCCGGCATGAACCCCAATCGTCCCTACCCCAGCAGCAGTTTTCTGTAGCTACAATTCTTGTCAGAGGAGCTAACGATGGGTCCCCAGCATGACGCAGGACACAGGGAGAAGGAGCATAGACCTTCCCCGGCACACATACGTACCTCTCCCTTTATGCTTCAATGCAACTCTTATCCTGGATGTGCTACACAAAACAGGCTTGCCTTGAGAGAGGGCTAACGGCGCACAGCTCAGCCGAGAAGCGAACACAGACCTTCCCAAGTCCTGCTTCCACACCTCAGTGCAGGCCTATCTTTATCTTATCGTCTTTACTGTTTTTGCAACCGGAGTCATAAACAGCAAACCCTCATCCCACAATAGATCTCATTCCACAAGAAAACGTGGAAGAATTTAAAGGTTGCTACTGCAAAAGTAGGAGCGCAGACCTAGCTTTGCAACTATTCATAAAGGTACCCTCCGCATTAATAACTTCAGTGCTTACGCTGGTTAAAAGAAGCAAACATCCTTGTCCTAGATCTAGTTATCTGCACTCTGGCATGTAACTAGAATACCTATTTTCACACTGCTGTGCGCAGTTTCTTTACACATTGAGCTGGCTGCCACTGAATCAGACCACTGGTCCAGCAAGATGACAACTGTCTACTCAGCCTGGCAGTGGCTCTCCAGGGTCTCAGGTAAAGGTTTCTCACATCACCCACCACGTGACCATTTTCACTGGAGGTGCTGGGAATAGAACCCCCTGGGAGCTTCTGCATGCAACGCAGAGGCTCTTCCACCGAACTACAGTGTAGCGGTAGCTCTGACATCACTGACCTTTTCTTGCTGAGTTTGCAAGCTAGGTGAGAGTCCAAGCACTTTTCAGCTGTCAATGAACTCTGTTTGCTTCAAGTTACTTTCATCTTGGACAGTTAGTTGAAACAGTTACGGGAAAATCAGATTAAATGCTTTTTAACAGAGGTTGAGCGTTGAGATTGGTTTTATCTTGTTATATCGGATGTATCTCATATGCACCTGCTGATTGGCTTATTTGCACGTACATTGCTTATCTCATATTTCATTATGAACCAATCAGTTATCTAGATAATATCATATGGGTATGTTAGAACAGATTTAGAGGAAGATAGACTCATAGTTTTCTATAAATATGCCCTCCTGTGACAAGCAAATCAGATTTCTCTGGATGGAAGTCTCAGGAGAAGATTAGTTGAGATTTCTTGGTTGAGTAACTTGGGCTTTTTGATAATCCTTAAAAGCAGTGAGATGAACGCTTAAATCTGATTTCCTTTTAAAGCTATTACTTGCTATATGATGATTATACAACGCTGGGTATTGTGATAATTTTAGCATTTATCGTCACAGTAATTGTAGGGTTAACTTCTTCATGCCTGTACCCTTTCAATCTGGCCCAATAAAAAAAATAACTTCTCGTTTCAATAAAAAGATAAAAGTTTCTACAGGTGTTTTGTCTGGTTTGCTGGTTACATTTCAAAGAACTGACTCCACCCCCTTACTCTTCTGTATTATCAGAATTAAAGGCTGTTAATCACTCTTTAATGGATAAATCCTGGAAAACTCTGTTGCTAAATATTCTTGCAGAGGCAAAGCCTCTAAAAGGGTTTTGTTCAGGATCTCTAATTGGATGCCGGAAGGAATCTCTCGTTACAACAGCACCACCATCCTTTCCACTTTCCCTAGCCCATAGTCCCATCTCCAAAGCTCCAGGAGGAGAATGGGGCAGGAGTTATGGAGAAGGTAAGTCAGTGCAACCAAGTCCTCCCAGCAAAGAAGCCACCAAGTGCCATCCCGTGCAAATTAACTCCAGTATGGAAATCAACATGCTTAGGCTGGAGTAACTGTATCAGTGCAAGGAATCTAGAAGGATCAGATGTCAGTGCAAGGAATCTAGAAGGATAAAGCCTACTGCTGTACCCGTTTTAATAAGCAACGCAACAGCAACAACTTACCAAGTTATTCATCACATTCTGATTTGATTGCATTGAGAACAGAGATGTATCCTAAGGATGGAAACATAAAACAGATAGGCACACAGAATTAAGAGCAAGCTTGTGAAATATGGTCTACCGTATATCGCAAGATTACTGACTGACACTAACAAATTATGCAGAAAATAACTTCACATTGTACTGTAACTCTGGAATAAAAGAAGACCTGATAAGGGCACACTCCACATAATCGCACACCCCAGTCTTTGGACAATTTTTTTTTCCCCTGATAGAAATAACTCAGATCAGCAAGGCATTTGTTGTGGTTAAATAATTTCCCAGACCAAACGTATCAGACAGGAATCAGCAGGGCTTTTACTAATTATTTTAGTGGAGCCATAATACCATGCTGGGCTAAATGGATTCATTCAAGTTCCTTGTTGGTGACTTCAGTTAAACAAAGAACTGCAGCAGTGCTAGGTCTTGTGAAATGCTCCATCCAACAGGGATAAACTTACACAGATGTATTTACTTCATTTATACTTAATCTTTCTCCTCAGTGGGTTTTATTGATAACAATCAGTATTTTGAACTAGGTCCAGATGCACAGAAGCGGCTGCTGTAAGTAGGGATGGCTGACACGAATTTTGTGATGTTCACAAACTGAAGAACTGCCACAAACGTCCACAAATTTTGGTGCAGTTTGTGGTGGTTCATGAAGAGCAGGAAGCAACGGTTTACCCCGCTTTCTTCTCTTCATGAAAAAAGAGCTCCCAGCCATTTAAACCCCTGCTTTCTGCTCCCCAGGAAAAGCTGTGGGGAGCAGAAAGCAGGGTTTAAATGACTCGGAGCCATTTTAACCAAACAGCTGAGCATCAGTCCTCACCACTCAGCTGTTTGGAAACCCCTGCTTTCTGCTCCCCACAGCTTTTCCCCATGGGGAGCAGAAAGCAGGGTTTAAATGGCTCAGCTTGTATGAGTTTGTGGTTCAGCCATGAACCACAAACTGAACCTCAAAAATCCGCTTCATGCCCATTCCTTATTGTAAGTCTGTTAAACCTGTTGTGTTATGTTGTCTTTAATTCATGCCCGCAATCAATCTAGTCACCATGTATTGTGCCAACTGAGGTTTCCGGACAGTCTTCATTGGTAGCCCCGTATACAGCAAACGGAATCTAGTCTGGATATGATCAGAGCATGGATCACTATGGCCAGATCATGGCTCTTAGGAAAGGGAAACCAGCAGAAGAAAGCTAAAGGGGTCTTATGCGTTGCATAGGAACCACAGGGCAAGCATACCCCAAACTCCCCCGTTTATGTGGGGGAGGATCAAGACTATGAGGTACAATCCTCTTCCTTTCTATCAGCAATGTATGCAGTCAAATATGTCATATGTACAGGGCTACTGACTTGAGACGGGCCAATTATTCGTCCTTTATTTCTCAAAATTCCAGAACAAGGAAACTCTGAAGGCCCTCTCAGCTGCTGACAAGAAATGATGTCTCTCACAGACGTCTCTTACCTGTGTGAATCCATTAAAAGCACTGGATGCCTAAGCAAAATCAGAAAATAAAAACAGAAATTGGGGGGGGGGGGGTTAGTAAACATAAAGCAGGTTTCACAAAAATCTTGCTTGCGCATTATAAGATAGACTTTAAAAAAATTTTTTTAACAAAAGTGAAAGTGAAAATTCTGACAAACAGCATGAAGCTAAAAAGAGAGAGAAAAGGGTAACGATGATACACGTTCAAAGTCTGAAAAGACTGGTGGACACTTCTTTTGTATTAGAAAATGCAAAAATGAGACACAAAGAGATCTGAATATGTGCACAACAGCCAACCTCTTTTTAGCCAACCTTGTCTAAGTTAGCAAAGGGAGGTAGTAGGGAGAACATATACGAGGACTGTTAATCAACACAAGGATATAAATCCTAAGGAACTCTCAATTCTAGACTATGCTACACACTGGGGTAGGTACCTCTTCTTTATCAGCCTCAATTTCTTGGTACAACAATCCATATCTCCGGTTAGCAATTTCATCTTCAGATAAATCTGAACTGTTGGTCTCATTGTCTTTGGGGCTAGTTGAGCTCTCGGTGCTAGCGTTTCTGGAAGTTCCCCTTTGGAACAGAGCCAACGGCCTACCTATCTCCTTGTGTGCTCCGCAGCTGCTAATATGTGCCTGTTCCCCAGATGATCCTGGCTTTAAAGGCGCCTCCTCATTTTGGTGACTTGAACTTACACCCATAACTCCCCAACAGTGACCTAAACCTCCCAAATCTTGTGAAGACCATGTATCATTAAAACCTGCCCAAAGACTCTCCATGTTTTCATCCACAGAGTCTTGTTCTGGTGGGAAGGGCCAGTTATCACATCCATTTGTCTCGCCAGAAACCCTGCAAGCATCACTATTGACTGTTGGATCCCAGTTGGCCTGCCAGGGATCTGTTTCCATTGATCCAAGGACACTAATGTTAGTAAGTTCTTCGGCCACTGAAAATGCTTCCCTGTCTACAAACTTATCTTCCACATTACCTAGGCAAGAATTACTGAGGTTGGCTGTGTTAGCAGACCCGGGGTGCAGAACCACATCCTTTTCAAAGGATATGAAGGTAGCTTGATAGTCGCCAACAACATTGTTTTGAGAGATGCTGTAGCTACAGTCTTCAGTTTCTTTACCACGTTCTTCTGCCCCACATAACTCATCGCCACACATAGATTCTCCAACCTCTGCAGCTGTTTTGTCTCTGACATTTAAGCCAGCTAATCCTGTAAGACTTCCCATTTCTCTTTCTTGTGTACATTTTGTGGCCATATCCCCAGAACAGGGTAAGTCATCCATAATTTCTGTTTCATAGTTCAGATTCGAGGAGCCTAAGCCATTCTCAGGTTCCAGCTTACTGAATTCTACATTTGTACAATCACTGATCTCATATCCCAAACCTGTGTCCACTACATCCTTTGCACCATTATCACCTGTCTCTTGAACCATAGCTTCCCTGTTAACTTTTAGGTTGAATTCTTGAAGGTGACTGCCAGTAGTTATCTCTGGCTGCCCATGACTACATTCTGAATCCCTTAAAATGTCTACCTCAGTGTTTTCTAAGGCTTTAGGGTCTGCTTTTGCTAAGGCCTCAAGATGCTCTGTTTCACTGTTTTCTTTACTGCGACAATCTCTCTCTTCAAACTCCTCTGCGTGGTCTACTTCCTTGAGGTTAACAGCTCTGGTCTCTACCTTTTCATAGGGCTCCACACTTGCCCACAAAGACTCTTCTGTTTTCCTTTTCTCATCTTCTGCCTTTTCCACACTACATGGGGCTCCATCCAAAGAGCTATCTGTTCCCACTGCAGGATACTGTGCCAAAGGTTCAGTCACTAATGGCTGGTCCACCTCCACCAGATCTGTGCTGCTTTCCATGACGTGTCCTGTGTCCAAGTAAGTGTCTGGAAAAGCGGTTTGGCTTTCATCTGTAGAGGTCATCCAAGATGCACTGTCCTCTTGCTCACCCGCTGCAGACCAAGTAGTAGTAGCCTGCACAACAGATGATTCTGTTGAAATTTGTTCTGCCTCGGGGAAAGGGAAAGGGTCATCCGATACTCTTTCCTGGCTCTCACTACCACTTAGGCCCCAGTGGACCAAACCTAGATCAGTTTGGGGTTTGTTAATGTCTTCTGTTGATCCACTGTTTGGGTTTTTCTCCATGACCAGGTTACACAGGGAAAGGCTTTTTGAAGAATCAGGCTTTCGGCAGACAGAAAAGTAAAGGGGGAAAAAAAAAACAAGATGAAAAAAGATAAAGATGGCCTTGATGAGAAAACACAACATTTAATATTTTATTGAGGCGATGTTATGTTTAAGAACAAAAATAAGACTAAAATAAGGAATTAACGCAACTTGAAACATTTGGGGGGGGGGGAATGTATATTTGGAGATGGTAGCTAGAAAACTAAAGAGCAGCTTTGGCAGATGAAACAGAGCAGATCTGCTTACCGGCTGCACCATTTCGCTGCTTGTCTGTGCGGAAGAAAGCCATATCAATAAAACAAAGATCAAGTTCATTACACATTCAAGGGCATTAAATCTTGACACTAAACAAAATCTCCTTGGGACAAGAACTTATCACATCAGTGTCTGATTAAAGAGAGCCATCTAATTATATCGAGCTGAATTTCCTCTAAAGATGTGTCATTCCAGTCAATGCTTTAGAAAGGATTTCAAGCTACCATAGCTATTTTGATGCATCAGCTATGTACAATACAGAAAGTATCAGAAACAGGGAACACCACTAAGGATGTAATCCAAGGAATATTTACCTGGGAGTAAGTGCCCTTGCTCCTAGTAGGCCTTACTTCTGGGTAAACCTGCATAGAATTGGGCTCTGTATCTTTGATTTTGCGGGTGATTTAGAATGCCCATCATTCACAAATTAATTTGTTTGGAACTATTTTATGGCATCTAATGCAAGTGAGAGCCAGCATGGTGTAACAGATAAGAGAGCTAGTCGTGAAGTTCATGATGTGCCCCTACGTCTCCATCTGTCAACAGCTAAAAATGGTTACAAGAGGTAAATGGAATAGCTCTATGTACTCCAGCATGGACATCTTGGAGGAAACAGGACATCATGTGATAAAGAACCAGACAGATTATTAAGCAGAGTCATAAATTAAGGTTGACTGCTTATTCAATCAGTCAATCATCAGAAGAGTTGAAATTCTGAGCACCTTCAATAAAAATAACAACTTCTCTCAGCTAAATAACCTAAGGATTTCAAGTTTGGAACTATTACCTATGGCTAGAACCAAACAGGATTCCTAATAGCTAATCTTGGCTTGAGAGAACCTTGGTGCGTGCACACTTTTACTTCATCTCAACTCATCAGAGATTTTGTAAAGTATTGAAAGCACCTAAAAATACCTGTTTACCAGGCAAAAGTGGAATGAGAAACCATAAGAAGTGATGAAATATTTGCAGAGACTCCTAATCTTTGAAAAAAAATGTCTGTCTCCTGCCTGAACCACAATGCTTAAATCGCAAGAGGTTGATGCCATTGATTGGTAGACCATGTCCACCTTCATTCAACAGCCAGCTCCAATTAAAATATAATGTCCCTAATCTGTAATCAGTTCATTAACAGATTAGCTGCATTTATTAATCCTTACCAGTCTAATAAGAAAACTGATCCAGATATAAATTCCCAACAGATTTAGCCAAGTTTTGAGGTCCATTATTAGTATAATGTTATAAACACAAAGCCACTAAATTCTGAACAAGAAGAATGAATGTACTGGTTTCTGGTGTATCGATTTTTCTTCTACAATGTTTAGTATTAATAATTTAAAATCAGCCATCTCTTATTTGGAAGTTTACCAATCTTATACACGTCTAAGTCAATCTAAAACTGAAATTTTATGCCCTCTTATTTGCAAGTAAGCTTTATGCTACTTAGCACGAATTACTGGTGAGAACATGCACAGGCTGGGCTGTGGATGGGTTAGATACAGCAATTCGTTAGCACCCTGTGGATCTTCCCCATATTTACCTTCCCCCCAGCAGTCCTTTCTATGAGAAAGTTGTGCTGACGAAAGAGGAGCTGGTTTTGCCCGCCTCCTCCTCCTCCTCACTTCAGCCTGCTGACCTGCATGGCGATTATTCCATTCAGATCCCGCAACCCCAACTATTAGTTTCCCCAGGGTCAGGAGGAGCTGCTGGAAGAGAGGGGAAGGCAGGATGATCTGCATTCCTCCTGTGAGTGGATCACTGGATCCAGCACCTTGTTCTAAACGTGTCGCACCTAGCATGCATTCACACCACACAAATGTGACCTTTTGACACCTGAATAAATGGGAAAGTGTCTTCAGACTTCTGAAGATACTTCTCCGAAATCTGTCAGAAATGGGTTCTTGTCTCCCTAAGGCGTGGACACAACTATTTGGCTGGGGAGAGGGCCTTCTGGACACAAGTTGACTTCCTGTTGCAGTTGGCACCTGAGTCAGCAGCAGGGAGGTAGGGAAGGGACAAGGACATCCATTGCCACGTGGGCTGTTTTCCACTGCAGTTCTTTCCGGAAGATTTCAACGTATCCCCAGACATTTGAGATTTTGCTCATGCCCTTCCGAGTCAATAGAGACCCTTCCCCCATATATTATTTCATTGCTCCCACTATGCAGAAGAAAGAGCCCTCTTAATTACGCCTTCATTAAGGTCATTTAGGTTTCAAGGACAATTAGTAATCCAGTCCGAGGAACTTTTGCTGAAACACCTACTGGAGGACAAATCCACGGTTATTTCAAGGAATGTTGCTAAATTTCTTTTTATTGTAATTATAAAGCGTAAGCACCTCCTTAATACTCCTTGAGATGTTTTTTCTCTGTAATGCCTTACGACAATCTGGAGACTGTTTTTGATTCTGCATGCTGTTTGATGGGTCTTTGACCGTAATAAACTGATTGATTGATTGGGCTGTTTTCCACATTCCATTGTTTTCTTTCATTTAAATGTTACATGTCCAATTTGTCCAATTTTTTTTTTGGTGTGTGTGTGTGGATCACAATATCTCATGTCATTGTTCCCAGAGCTAGAACCACACAAGCTTCTCCATGGATAATTGCTACGGGAATTTACATGGTACAGCTATGCTAGGACAACACCACTACTAATGTCTGGCCAGGCGGATTGTCTACTTCACTCCACTTACCCTTCGGAAGCTGTGCAAACCTCACTAAATGCTGACTATTTTATTGAATTAAGGCCGATGATTTTATGTTTTTTTTAAATTGATTATTGTTATATGATTTAAATAGTAAATCTGCATTAATTACAGATATATGCATGTTGGTACCCACCCTGAGCCTACAATGTGGGGAGGGCAGGATAGAAGTATGTATAAATAAATAAATAAATAAATAAATAAATAAATTTACACTCCAAACAACCACTGGAAGCATCAGGACACTGATTCCATCATCAGGCTGCTGCCCAGCCATTAGGAAGCGAGTTCCATTAGGAAGCCATTAGGAAGAGAGCTATGGGTGACCTCAACTTCCCCCTACCTGTATCTTAGTCTCTTCCTAATCAACACCTTGCAGTGCTCTTGCTGTTCACAGGTGTGCCTTTCTTCTGTCGGAGACAACCGACTCCCATTCCTGTCAGACTAGCCTATTTTTGTCCTCAGGTCATCCAAATCCTATTTATCTTCCCTGCCTGCTCGAAGAGACCTTGAGACACCCTCAAAGACTTTGCGGGATGCCTATGACGAGGATGAGCTTCTATTGAACTTTTCAGAGGGCATCTGCGTCATTTCTGAAATGCAGGGGAAAGTGGGCTTAATGGCGTTGAGGGAAACAGCAGCACTGAAGCAAAGAGAACTGACTGGAAAGGAAAGAAACAACTTGTGCCAGTTTCACCAGTTCATGGCATACACCTTTGCTCCTTTCCATGTTTTCTTTAACATGTTAAAGTCTTTATCACAAGAAACCTCAATGTTTCCCTTCTGAATTTACCTATCAACATTTGAAAACAAGATTTCTGTTTAGCCACAGATGCAGGATTCTCCGTAAGGATTCATTCAAAATCGTTCATATCTCAGTCTCAATACGCCCAACAGGGGAGGAGCGATGGCTCAGCAGCAGAGTATCTGCTCGGCGTACAGAAGATCCCAGGCTCGATCCCTGGCATCTCCAGTTTAAAGGATTAGGTTGTAGGTGAGGTGACAGACCTCTATGTGATAGTCTTGATGGCCGTTGCCAGTCTGAGTAGAAAATCTTCGCTTTGATGGACCAATGGTCCGATTCAGTGTAAGACAGCTTCATGTGCTGAATATGTGTGTTCAATAGAATAATCAGAATAAGTCTCAAGACACTTCACTCAGTATCAGCTTCATTATAGTTGTATTGATCTTTGCATTTGGGAAGGTGACAAATCTCAGGAGAACTGCAGGGTTTATAGCTATGTTCCCCAACGAGCACTACGGTCCGGGACTAAACATCTCCTGGTGGTTCCAGGTCCCAAAGAGGCCAGACTAGTGGCGACTAGGGCTAGGGCTTTTTCGGTGGCGGCGCCTACCTGGTGGAATGAGCTCCCAGTGGAGATCCGGGCCCTGTGGGACCTTGCACAGATCCGCAGGGCCTGCAAGACAGAGCTCTTCCGCCAGGTGTTTGAGTAGGAGCCACCACGACTGTTACCATCTGTCTTAGCCCTTATTACCAACTCGCCGTGAGTGCAAAAATGGTGGTACTGCATGGAGCTGTGGCCACTAAGGATACCATCCTGGTGATGTCATCGGTTCCCTTGTTGTTGTGGAGAGCACTTATGTTGCACTGAATGTTTTTAAAATGCAGTTTCAATGTTTTATGTATTGGGCATTGGCCCCATCTGTACGCCGCCCTGAGCCCGTTCGCGGGGAGGGCGGGTTATAAATTTAAATAAATAAATAAATGGCTGTACTCAGCCTCCCCCTGTCCAGTTTCTCCCATCTCTCTCTCTCTCTCTCTCTCTCTCTCTCTCTCTCTCTCTCTATGTAAAAAAAAAATTATGTTCCAGGGCATATTCTGTGTAACTAGCTTTCTAAGGGGTGGGGTGAGTGACAGAAATGCTTGTGTCAGTCTGGTCAATCGTCTCGCACAGGTTGGTGCACTTCTTGAGCCTCTGGGTGCTTTTAGGATTTTGAGAACAGGCAGTGGACGCTATAACAAAATGGCTTTTACGGTGGGGGGGGGCAATTACAAAATGGTCATTATAGGGGCTGGGTCCAGTAATAAAACACTGGGAGGTTCTGGGAAATGTTATGCTGTTCCAAACCAAGCAGAGGCCGCTGTTCCCAAAGGGGTTCTCCCTGCAGACACCAAGGGGATGCCTCCTGGGCTCTTCTAAACCACCTTCCGCTCCAGTGAAGCGAGAGAAAGCCAGGGGGAAAAGCAAATGGATAGCGGGAAACACATGTGGGTACCGTGGTGCCCACTGCATGACACACAGGAAGGCCATGTTTTTGGACATTCATTTCATTTGATTTCAAAACTTATCCAGGGAGTTATGAGAAAGTCTCTTCTTTGAAGCATCTGGTTTAATCTAAAAGTACATGCATCTGTATTTGTACATCTGACCCCCAGCTTCCCCGCCTGTCCCTTTCTTCCCTTCCCCTGTCAAAATTTAGATTGCAAACACTTTGGGACCGGGCCCCACCCTTTTGGCTTGCAATGTGCTGCAATGCACTTTGCATACAGATGATGCTACATCAACCAAACCACAAACACACAGCATGCAAAACAGACAAAGCCACCTTACCGTCCATAGATCCCAGGGTAGCGTCTGAGAACAGGGGAAAGAAGGACAGTGTTGAAAACCTCATTTGTACACCTTGCTATGTGCTGAAAAGCATAATTAGATAGTACCATGATTATTCATTTGCGGGATGGAGCTTGGTTTAGCATTCTTTTAGGAGACAGGAAAACGGATTCTACAACACATTTCACAAATCCCAACTTATTTGTTCTGTCCATCAAAGCCAAAGCCCCGGGAAAGAAGGGACTCCAACTCTGAAGGCACAACCCCCTGGAAAGGGCATCTGTGTGAACCCAGATGAAAGGGGCAGCAGCTGCTCAACAGCATGGAAGCATAGGTCTCTTGGGGCTCTTTACACACTACGTTCTTCAGATGTTCATCATGATGTTTTTAAAATGTGTAGATAAAAACGTAAAGTGTGGATGCAGGAAGCAAGCATTTGTAAACATCACACATATACATTTGTATGGGGATGAGCCCTTGTTGGGGGCACCTTCAGCAGCAAACCAGGTTTTGCTTCTGTGCTGGGCCTCTGTCATATATACCAGAACTAGAAAGGCTTTCTCAGCACTAGCATCATAAGTTTTAATAAGAACCACATTTCCACGGGAAGTGATTTAGGCTCAGTACACAGGACTCTTGGGGAGAAGCAGCTGATATTTCATATTTTATAGTTAGGGTTGCCAATTCTGGGCTGTAAAGTTCCTGGAGATTTGGGGTGGGTCCTGGGGAAGGCAGGACTTGGGGAGCAGAGAGACTTCAGCAGGGTATCATGCCATAGACTCTACCCTCCAAAGCAGCCATTTCCTCCCAGGGAACTGATCTCTGTAGTCTGGAGATGTTATAATTCTAGCAGGTCTCCAGGCTCCACCTGGAGATTGGCAACCTAATTTACAGTCCACCTTACTGGTTGAGACTGAAGGCAGATTACTGTGTTAGAAAATGCAAAAAAGGGGACAGGAGAGGCATTATAGTACAGACAACAAGCAATGTGATCATTGTGGATTACAAAACTAGAGAACACGAAACAAAAACATCAACGATGTGATATAAAAAGGAACTGGCTAATTTCCCCCCACAAAAATTAAAGCTATAGCTCTATTCTCATTAGTAGTATCCTGAACAGAGGACTATCAAGTTAGAGAGCACAAATGGGAACTGGGCAGCTACTGTTCACATATCAGAACAAAGCTATCTTGAAAAGCCTTTCATTCTCACTGTGGTGGGATGGTGACTTTTGTCGGAGTTGTGTATGACATAGCCTTAAAGGAGCAGTGCTGTTTTCCATGATGCAGAGGGCAAGCAAAGGTCTATAGTGTTTTCCACTCCTTCCACCATGTGCTGAAAATCAATCCGACCATGTGGATATACGTATCAGATGACTGCTGTGCTCTGTGGCCTGATGTAAAGTGCCCTGAACTTGCCACGTGCCCAGGGTTAGCGTTTGGTGTCTTACGTAAACTCTCATCAACTATAAGCAAACTGGCAACTTGGGCAGGATCACTCTGTTTTCTGATCCGCCATGAAATAAAGGCTCAGTTCTTGCCATTCATATTGTTGAACTGAGATTTCTCCTACTCGCATACATATTGTTTACAACAAAGGGTGGCTTGCATAGAACCACAGAGTTGGAAATGGCCTTGTAGGTCGTCTAGTCCAAGCCCCAGCTCAATGCAGGATGCTCAGTGCCAGAACATTCCCTACAAATGGCTGATCAGCCTTGGCTTGAAAACCTTCAGCGGGGGACAGCCAACCCCAAACTGGTGACTGGTTCAACTGTCGAACTTCTCTCACTGTCAGGAAGTTTCTGCTGATGTTCAACTGAAAATCAGCAAATACCGTGCTACAGATGATTACCAAGTAGCTCAAGTAATTGGTATATATTTTTTCGTCCTTATATTTTTTATTTTTTCTATATTTCTTATGAATTATTCACCATTATATTAATTATCACATAGACATTAACACAAAGAATGAATCATATATCCAAACATCTAAGTACCGTCTTTTTATATAACAAAAGATATTGCACAACCTCTCTATTAATACCAGTCCTCCTTAATTGCACAAAAGCTTAGGAGGACTCCTTTAAGTCTATTTTGAATCAGTGCTCATTTTCCCTCCAACAGAGGTCCAAATATCCTCCTGTTTCAGGGTCTTCCTCGGGGAGTTCAACAAATATTACCAAGCACAAGGTTGCCGAACACCAAAATATGTATCCAAATTTCACCCAATGAATGCTGCAAAAAGTCTCTCTTAGTGAGCTCAAGCCTTCCTCAAAAGTGAAAAGCACATTCAGCTGAAGCCTGCTCTCCTGCACATTAAAGCCCATTAGATTTAATCTGGCTCTCTGATGCTGCAGAGTCAACAAGTCCTTGCCATCCTAGATATGATAGATCTTCAATTATGTGAAGAGTGCAGCCACAATCCTCCACTCCAGTCTTCCTTCAGCCTCCCCCGTCCACGGTGATTCCTTTTCCAGACCCATTTCCTTGCCCTCATTTGAACCCATTCCAATTTGTCTACAGCTTTCTTAACACACAGCACCCAGAACAGGACACAACATTCCAAATGTGATCTGACTAAGGCTGCTTTCATGCACGTTGGCTAATGCACTTCAGCAATCGTTTGCAACTGGTATTCCTGTTTCATGCAGGAAAATTCAGCTGTGAACAACTGCGAAGTATAATGTTCTGTAAAGGTGTCCTGTGTGAGCATCCAAATCACTTTGAAGGATCCAATCCAAGGTCCATTTAGATGAATATTCTGTTTTCAGTCATAGCCCTGGATCAGATACCTCTGGAAGCCCAACATCTCTATTGTTTACAACACCTGGTATTCAAAGGTATACTGCCTCTGTAAATGGAAGTTCCATCTGGCTATCATGCTCCATGCATGTATATAATCTTTTTAAAAGCCATCTTTGAATGTGGGGATGAAATAGTAGAGTGAACATTTATCATGTTTTGTATGTCATCAAAATGAAAATGGTAGCTGAAAAATCAACTATTTAGCTACTGAAAATCCTTTCAACTGAAATCTTTAACCATCTTGAACTCAAGTCTTCTACAGCTCTAAACTAAAGCAGATTATCACAGGAACTAGAAACCCAGAGGTATCATTTACCTAAAATGTCTCTGTAAAAACTGAATGTATGCATATGAGATGATTTTTTTTTAATCTCAGGGAAAGGAGAAAAATACCAAGCAGAATATGACAAGGAAGATCCCTACAGGCATTCTGGGGAATGTTGAAGACATTTTTATTCCAGATGGCTCTTCAGATAAGCTGAGTGAGCGGGGGTGTTGTTGGCTGAATTGCGTGCGTTGTAGATTTTTCCCTGCATTTTATTTTAATTATTGCTACTTTAATTCAATGTATCAGTTGCATACTGGATCTTTACACATCCACAAGTTTTTTTGCAAAGACAAGATAGATGAAAGGCGGGGCTATAAATATTCAAATATAAATAAATCTTGTCAGTCATCCTGGAGGTCTTTTCTTTACACGGACAGGTGGAGCATAACTATTTTTAATTAATAAGATCAGCCACCCTTTCAATTCTGAGACTTCATCTGGCATTGTCCAAATACATTCAAGCACACATTAATGATCACAAGGCCCAGAATCCATCCCCCCCCTTACATTAGAAGAGAGATTCTCAGGAACCTGAATTCTACACACTGTGCATCTGCCACCGTTCTGTGGGAGTAAAGCACATTTCAATTACAGTTTACACTGGACCTTTAAGAATGGCTTCCTTCAAGCAAGGGAAATACCTGAGACATGGGCGACGGGACTGCCACAGGAGCTGCAGCATCAGGCTTGAACGGATCAAAGTCCAGATCTAACAAAGACTCTTCTTGCTTAGTTTCAGGAACTTCATTCTGTTCAGGAAGACACACCGGATTTACAAACCCTTTCAAAAGCCACACTGACAATCCCCCCCCACCCCGCGCAAAAAAAATTAGTTTTTATGGTATGCACTTAACTGCTTTTCTAAAGGGCATGCAGAATAAAACACAGATAACGACATGTGGAGTTACATAACACACACCGAACAGCAAGGATAAATTAGCATGTTAGGCTCTACACCATCTGCTTCCACGGAGGCTGCATTCAGGGATCAATTCAAACTTGCATTCATTTGGCACGACCCAGGAGGGCAGCTTGTGCCGCCCGTGCTCCCCTCCCTCTTTCCTGCTCCCCTTTTGTGCGGAGTGTGAAAATAAACTCTGGATTAGAATCCCAGGTTCTTGGAGCAAAGGGGCCTCTGAAGCCAGACATCACGAGCCACTGGGATTTCTTTTCCACGGGAGCCTGTTTTCCAACCCTCCGCATGAGGGTACAGGAGGGAGGAGCAAGAGAGCAGTCAGGTGCAACAGGTAAACAGAATTCGTGCCCGTTGCTGTTTAGTGGGATTCAATTCAAATTTAGAGTGTCTCAGGCTGTATTCTGTGCCATTCTAACCAGACCTGCGTCCTTCAATGGGCTTCAATTGACTCCAATTGGCTTTTCTTTCTTTCTTTCTTTCTTTCTTTCTTTCTTTCTTTCTTTCTTTCTTTCTTTCTTTCTTTCTTTTTCTTTCTTTCTTGCCATTAAGTCACAAGCTGACTTAGGGCAATCCCGCTGGGTTTTCAACGTTGAGAGGCGACTTGCCATCGCCTGCCTGGTGACCCTGGACTTCCTTGGTTGTCTCCCATCCAAACACTAACCCTGCTTGGCTTCCGAGATCTGATGAAACTGAGCTAGCCCGGACTACCCAGGCCAGGGCTCAATTGGAACAGAAAGGGGTAACTCTGCTTATGATTAAACTGTAAGGATCTGAATTGGTTCTTTTATCCGATATGCGTTTCTCTCGATTCTCAAATTCTGTGGAATCAGCTATGCGGCTGCTCATTCATGCCTGCCCCATTCATCGAGGATTTTATCTTCCGGCTGCTAGCTCCCTTAGGGAACCAAACAGTTAATAATAGGATGATGGGAATCATTCAGGTGTAGCCAGGGGTCTTGTTGTAGAAAAAGAGCTGCCGGAGCTCATTAGCATAACTCATTAGCATAACTTATTTGCATATGCCACGCCCCCTGACATCACCGGAAGTGACAGAAGGCCACACCCCCTGACATCACCGGAAGTGTGTCAGAAGGCCCGGCTACTTACCCTCCTGCTTCATCCTCATTCCCAAACGGAATGAGGATCGAAGCAGAGGGCGGGGTAAAGAAGGGGGCGGGGCTTCACCACGTGACCGCCCCGCCCCCTAGAGGTTCTCTTCCGGAGCTCCGTACCTGAGAGCTCCCCCCCGACTAGAGCCCTGGGTGTAGCTGATCTTGATTTGGGAAGATTTAAACTTGACCTCTTAGGCATAAAGTTCACTGCGTGACTGAACATTTCTCTGTCTCCCAACCTAACCAATCTCACAGGGTGGTTGTGAAACTAAACTGGGATTGTCTCCTATACTGTGTTCCTTGGGAAAAGGACTGATGTGAGTATGAGGAATTAGTAAATTATGGTACAGCAACCCTTTGGAGTGACTCCAACTCTATAAACACATTTGAGTTCAACAGATTTCAGTAGGTCATTCATTCAGAGGTGCTTTGCCATTGCTTGCAGACTAATAAGGCCAATTTCCTGTGAACTGACACTATTGCTTCTGAATACAATGGTGCATATTTTTACCCTTCATAAGACCTCTTCCTTTTGATGTTGATTTCCATGGGAATTTATCAGCAGTTTCCCATGAAGAAGGTTCCAGGACACCATATGCACAATCAAGCCAAGGTTAAACATCTTTCAGCACCATTAATTTCACTGTGAGGAACTTAAGTAGACATTTATTTCCTTCGTAGGAATCAATGGTACTTTAATTGTTTAAGTTTGGCTGGGCCATGGCCCCTTGCTTGCAAATTGGCACTATGCAGATTCTAACTACAGTTACTTCCATTTGCTCCAACACACAAGGAACAAGCACTGCATTTGTAAATAAATATACTGTTTGGATCTTTTCAAGTATCATTTGTCAATGGAGTTTATTACCCTGTATGCCGGAGGCAGCAGAACACAGGACCTGACAAAACAACTCAGTGGCATTAATCAGTACGTAATCAGCTAGGAACTAAGCAGTTAATTTCCTTTCATCAGAATTCGGAAAGGAAGCTGCTGTTTATGAAGACTCCAACAAATGATCTAATTTATTCCCAGCAAAGTAAAAAAGCAAGTTATCTTTTGATGAGATCCTTGTTACCGACTGATCATATGATCACTTTACTACTAAGCAGCTTATCATACTAATTTTAATTCTGCCAAATGAAATGGGTCAAAGATAAAAACTACCTAATGGTCAGAATAGGATGCATGCAAAACAGTGGGAGACATACTAAAACAGCAAAGACCTAAGCACATGAGAAGCACAATCTAATTCAAAAGCCTGGAAATGCTTACAGAATACGCCAAGGCCAATGTAAGGTTCAGGGATTCGGAGAGGCGGATTGGCCATGATGGCCACCAGGAAAAGTCCCAGTGGGCAGATGCCCTGCCCCTCTTCCCCTCTGAGGCCACCTTGGCTCCAAGCAATGCGAGTATGAACCTGCTCTTCCTCCCTCCACCCTCCATCAGAGTGGGCCCTTCTCCAGGGCCATTTTTGCCTCCTGGTCTGCCCCTGAGAACTAGCACTCTGTAGGCTAAACCTGACTAGGGCTGCCAAACCGCGGCGGGGGATCCGTGCGTCGTCGCAGGATCGCTGCCGCAGGGGGATAGCGATCCGCGTTGCACCGGCGTCGCCAGGATGTGACGCTATGCATCGCCCTGGCAACGGGACTCCAAACAGCCCCTTTGCCAGAGCGATGCATAGCATCACATCCTGGTGACGCCGGTGCAACGCAGATCGCTGTCCCCCCGCGGCAGCGATCCTGCGACGACACACGGATCCCCCGCCACGGTTTGGCAGCCCTAAACCTGACCTTCTAAGAGGCATCACCCAATCACACAGGTGCTAAGCTAGAGGCAAGAGGAGTGTGTAGAGGAAGTCAAGGCTTATGGCCATGGGACTTTGCTGGCAGTCCAAATGGGGAGGAAGAGAGCAAGTCTGCCATCCTCTGCTTCCTTTTCAGAACAGTAGAAATAGCTGCTGATCAGGGTTCTAGGGAGGCAGGACATTGATGTGGTTTTGAACACGTGAATCTACCTTATACTGTGTCAGACCAGTGGTCTAGCAAGGTCCGTGTTGGCCACTCTGAATGGCAGGGTGTCGGGCAGAGGGTTTTTCTATCACCTGCTACCTGATCCTTTTAACTGGCAATGCCAGGGACGGAACCTGGGAACTTGTGCAAGCAAAGCAGATACTCTATCACTGGGCGAGGCCCTCTTCTACTGCTGGGCAGGCCAGCCAGAAAACAAATCAACTTGGTAACTGCATACTTCAAGTACTGTATGAAAGAATGTGAAGTAACACGGACAGCCTGTGTAAGACAGAATGAACTCCTTGGCTCACCTGTGAAGGAGTTGTCACATTTATTTCTGGGACAAAGTTATCGTCAAACAAGCTGATAATATTCTCCTGTTGTAGCTCTTTAGTTGGTGTGAGTTTAGGCAGCGGTGGGACAGGAGGTCCTTTCCTCAGCTAAACAAAGAACAAACACATTGGGAAGTCAAATCTCAATCACAAAGACGCACCTGAATTGATCTGGAGCAGGGATAAATAAGCACAGATTTCAGAACATTGCAATTTAGCCGCTGACGCATCCTGTATCGTTCGGCCTCATGATCTTGTCAGCCTATCAACTGCTCTTCAAATATTCTTGCATCGTCAGAACAGCAAAACCTGCTAGGTAGTCAGGTGGACAGCCCCCTCCTTATATAATGTAAGTTTTCAGATTTGCAAAATATCAAGCAAGATATATCAAGCAATATCAAATATATCTTCACCTATTCTATTTCTCTCATCCCTGGAGACAAAAATACATTACTGACCAATTACCGCATTTCACATTTACCATCAGCCGAAATAACCAGATGACTACTTTATGCCCTAGATCAAGATGGGTAGCTGTGTTAGTCTGTCTGTAACAGTAGAAAAGAGCAAGAGTCCAGTAGCACCTTAAAGACTAACAAAATTTGTGGCAGGGTAGGAGCTTTCATGACTCACTGCTCCTTCAAATATCTGAAGAAGTGAGCAGTGACTCATGAAAGCTCCTACCCTGCCACACATTTTGTAAGTCTTTAAGATGCTACTGGACTCTTGCTCTTTTCTACTGTATGCCGTGTGTCACCTCACCAAAAACACATGTACAATAGTTTCAGAAAGTAGACATGCTAGTCTTCAGTTAACCCAGCTAGATATGAGTCTAGTAGCACCTCAGAGTCCAACTCGAGTTTCAGGATGTAAGCTTTTGAGAGTCAAATCTCCCTTCATCAGAGATTTCTATTTCTATTTGTATCTGATGAAGGGAGCTTTGACTCTCTAAAGCTTACATCCTGAAACTCGAGTTCGTCTCTGAGGTGCTAGTGGACTCAAATCTACACCTAGGCTTGTGGTCATACGTGCCATTTGGTGCGGAGGGGAAGCAAGCCTATTTCCCCCTGGTTGAAACTGACACGGTGTTCCTTTGTAGCTGCGTGCTCAGCCCGTCACTGCCCGATCAGATGGCACGTGGCCGAGGGTGGTGGGGTTTTTCCCCCCTTTTGTTTCCCATGTGCATAAACGAGGAATTGAACCTCCACACTAAAGGTTCCCCATGGAGTATGCGGTTATGCACGTACCGCTAAGCAAGGGGGGAAAACGGCACCAAGTTGGGATGGAGTGAGCAGACCGTCCCGACGGCATGAGAGTGTGCTTGAGCGATCAGACAGGGGAAAGTCCGTCCCTGGCCCGTCGGCAAGCATTAGGACCAGACTTTCCCCAGTGCCTTTGAACTCTACTTCTGTGGCGGAGTTGCATGGGGTGCAGACGGCTGCAGGACCTTTCCCAGATGTTGCTGTCTTATCATGCCCTTTAGATCCAGCAGGCATTTGCAGCTGAGTCAGATCTAAAGGCACATCTGACCACGGCCCGGCACATTCTATAAGATACAATTACTGATATTAAATACATAACTATTACTTTCTAGATTAACAGAGTATGGAAGGTTTTCTCTCCCCACCACAGCAGAACCTTAGCCAGCCCTTGTGCATCTGGAGGGAAGGGAAGGGTTTCTCTTTTTGGCCTTCTCGTTCTTTCCTCAGCAATGAGAAACGAAGTAGGTAAGAGACGGAGACTGCCAAGGCATCTGGAAGGGAGCAAGTCGGCCCGTGGAGAAAGGGGAGGAAACCCACCAGCACCATACGGAGGCTAAATGGTTCTTTTCATGGGTGTCTGCTGTGGGGGCTCTACTCTCCTCTGTGGCCATCTTGAACTTCACCTGGTAGCCATCTGGGTGCTGAGGTGAGAAGTCAGACACTGCTCAGAGGTTGTTGGAGGGGACGGGCCCTTTACATCTATCCCTGGCATGAAGCCTGCAGCTCACAGCTTATCTGTCCTCCGGTCCCTGCAGCAGCTGTTTCAAGGCGAGAACCACCTGCCTGCCACAAACCCTACAGTGCAACTGTCTTGCTCGCCTTCCTGGAACACGGGGCAAATGCCACACTGGGGGATGTCGCTCAGAAGAGCCACAGGTGGCATGTCAAAGAGCCACAGGTGGCTCCGAAACCACTGCGCAAGTATCACTGAATTAGAGAAGTTAACATTTGCATACTTTTTTTGAAAACGAACGGTGATCAATACAAAACATCAAACCAAATCTGGAGTCCAAGTCATTTGAATGGTCTTATGAGGACTAACCAATTGGAGAGGAGCACAGAACTTAAAAGAATATTTTGTGCAGGTCATATTTGATGGCAACAGATGACTATTTTTGTAAAGTTCTATAACACGCATTTTCTGATCATATAAAACTGTTCTGTTATTTATTGCAAGGGGGGGCATCCCACCCCCCATTTCATCTGTTCATATTCTCGAGGAGCCTTCTCCATATTTTCCGTTCACAGGAACAGCAATGGCAATAAAACATACCATACAATCCAATTGACCTACTGAGAAAAAAAGACACTGGCCTCTGAACAACAGCATATGACTGCTTTTGTGAGCAAACCAGCCCTTTAAAATTAATTCACATCAAGGGATGTTTATTAGATGCACTAAGCACACCTGGAGGACTCCCATCTCCCACATGAGCCTACCCACCCACTCTGGTTGTCTTCGGAGTAGAGATGTAAAATTTCCGGAAATGTTGAAGCTCGGGAAAAAACCCGTGTTTTTTTTCCTGTTTTTACCCCAGAAAAAAACTGAAATTTTCGGAAAAATTGAAAAAATGCTACATTGGCATTTCTTTTGTCTTTTCTAGATTGAAAGTCATTCTGTTACTTTAGGAACATAAAATATAACTATGGACATTTTTACTTGGCATGAAATTATCACAACTAGCCTATTAAAAATATAGTGTATCCAAACAATTATTACAAACAGAATACCCACCCACATGCAAAAACAAAACTGAAACCTTTTTCTTTTCTTGTGACAACAGCACCTCCTAAAGGAAGGAATGCATCTTGTTCTTGCATTGGAGAGTTCGGTTTGTAACCTAGGACTTGCTTGTCCTCCGTGCACAGAAATTAGATCAATCTGACACCATACATATTTTTAAAAATGATTTGGAAAATATTTGAACACCTTGTTTTAAAATATTTTATTCATCATGTTAAAATAAAACGTTCCATAATCAATTTTTTTTCTTTTTTCAATTTTTCCAATTTTTCGGAAAAAAACAAAAAGGCTTCAGGAAAAAAACAGAAAAAAACACGTTTTTCCCCCTGAATTTTTCCGGTTTTTTCCAGGCCTTCACATCTCTACTTCGAAGTCCCTGCTACAGGAGCCCCCCGCTATCTGGGGCTTAGATGGGTGGCAACCTGAGAAAAGGAACCAAAACTTTGGAACTCCCTCCCCAGGGTTTTTAACAGTGTTGTTTGGCATACCCCCAGTAACTCTTATTGGCTGTTCCCTGGTTTTTGGTGCTATGTGTTTCTGTGTTTCTATTGAATTACTATTAAAACTTTTTAAATGTTTGGTGTTCACCACCTTGGGGACAAGGCAGCATAGAAATGTTTTAAATAAATAAATGAGATACAGCGGCCGAAAAAGAAAAGAAAAGAGCATGACAAGTATTTGACACTTGGCATGGTGCTCCCCGGATCTGGGCGGGATGGAGCCCCGTTGCACATTTCAGCTGGTCCTCAGAGCTTTGCAGCTGCAAGAAGCATGCTGTGCCGACACATTTCATACAGGCCAGCAGAGAGCCAGTGACAAAAGAAATCAAATCACATTTATCCTGCAGGAAAGGAAATTATATTCCTTTTATATCAGGAGGATAAAAATAGCTCTGGCAAATCCGTTCTTTGGATTTATGCCAGATGCTGTTGGCAGCCTTTAATTCAGTCTTCAGAGATCTCACAGGAGCAAGAGTAAAGGGGAAAGGCTCTTTTACTTTAAATATATATATTATCATTGTGTCTGTTTTATTAGGTCTTAGATGTTTGTGTGAGATGTTTTAAACTGCTGTTTCAGTATTGATTTAGGTGGGTAGCAGTGTTCCCTCTAAGCTGAGTTAGCGTGAGCTAGCTCACAGGTTTTCAGCCTCCGGCTCACACATTCTTGTCTTAGCTCAAGAAGGAGGGCTCCAGAGCAAACTGATTTATGCAGTAGCCAAATGGCTCACTCACAACTTGAATGCCAGTAGCTCACAAGGTAGAATTTTTGCTCACAAGACTCCACAGCTTAGAGGGAACATTGGTGGGTAGCCGTGTTGGTTTGAAGCCAGAGAACAAAGTTTGAGTTCAGTGGCACCTTTAAAACTGACAAAGTTTAATTCTGGGCAGAATATACCCAGAACTAAACTTTGTTGATCTTAAAGGTGCCACTGGACTCAAACTCTGTTCAGTATTGCTTTGTTAAAAAGGTAAAAGTTCCCTTGCTTGAAAGCCAGTCGAATCCGACTCTAGGGTTGCGGTGCTCATCTCCATTTCAAAGCCGAAGAGCCAGCGCTGTCCGAAGACGTTTCCGTGGTCATGTGGCCGGCATGACGAAACACCAAGGCGCACGGAACGCTGTTTCCTTCCCACCGAAGTGGTACCTATTTATCTACTTGCAATTTCTTGCTTTTGAACTGCTTTGTTACTAGGCCCTTATTAATAATCCATTTCGTCATCATTGTTCATCTGGATTTGCTCCTCTGTGTTCGAAACTCTGTTCTGGAAACTGTCTTGGGCTGAAAGCTGCGGGGCATTTTAAAAATAAAATCCATCTCTTTTTAATGGAAGGGTTATTTAAAATGTTCTCTTAAAAGAAAAGCCACACAGATACACCCCAAAATGAATGTCTAAACTACTGATTCCTCTACCTCCCAAGGAGATTGCCATTGTTGGCACACGTAGGGGAGCTAGAGGAGTCTGGCAAAGTCTCTCCTCTCCTTTCCCCACGTACCAACACCATGGATTTCTCGCTCCTCTTTTGTACAGTGGGATGGGGGGGGTGTCTCCTCCAAGTAGTGCCAGTGCCATAGCATACCTGATATGGCTTCACCACATTGCCCAAGATGGAGCAGCCGCCCCCAAGAGAAACC